TGTTTCTTCAGCTTCTTTGCATAGGCGGCACTTACTGTCTGTTGCTGTCTTCTCAATTTTGACTTTGTATGCATTTGTCCTTAAGGCTTGGTCTTGTGCAGCCAGAATTAGTCCCTCGGTCTCTTTCTTCAATTTTCCTGCTCTTAGCCATTGCCAGGTTTTATTATTATCTGCTTTCCCAGCTATTTTTTTCATGTATTGGCCATGTAGTGCTTTGTCTTCCCATGCCTCTATTCTGTTCTTCATTTGGTCTTTCTTGTAGGCCAGTTTGGTCTCTCCAGTAGTTAGTAAGCCTTCCTGATATACTAATTTCAGTGCATCTTCATCATTGTTCTTCAGATATTCTTCCAAAGCCATTTTTTCTTCTTCAACCATCTGATGTACTTGTAGCATTCCACGCCCACCTATTTGCCTTGGTAGATAAAGTCTATCAATGTCACTGCGTGGATGAAGGGCATGATTCATTGTCATTATTTTTCTGGTCTGCCTATCCATTGCTTTTAGTTCTGCTTGAGTCCAGTCCACTATTCCAGCTGTGTACCTAATGACTGGGATTGCCCAGGTGTTGATTGCCTTTATGGTATTTCCTCCATTGAGTTTGGATTTTAAGATCTTCTTCACTCTCTTGATGTATTCACCTCTAATCTTTTTCTTGACTTCAGTGTGCTTGATGTTGTCAGCTTGAAGGATACCCAAGTATTTGTAGTACTCTTCCTCATCCAGACTCTTAATGTTATTTTCGTGGGGCATCTTGATTCCTTCAGTTTTCATTATTTTTCCTTGTTTGATAGTAAGTGTGGAACATTTGTCCAAGCCAAACTCCATTACAATATCTTGGCTATATATACGGACAGTGTTGAGCAGCGATTCTATTTCAGATGATGTTTTTCCATACAGCTTCAGATCATCCATGTAAAGGAGGTGGGATAGTCTGGCAGATGTTTTTGATGTTTGATAGCCATGTCCTGAGTTATTCAGTATTGTTGACAGAGGAAACAGTGCAATAACAAATAGTAATGGTGATAATGAATCTCCTTGAAATATTCCTCTCTTGATATTAACCTCTCCCAGCCTCTCACCATTGATCTGCAACTGTGTCTTCCATTGTGCCATCGATCTTTGCACAAATTTTCTGATGTTTCTACTGACTCCTGTTATTTCTAGGCACTTTATTATCCAATCATGTGGCAGAGAGTCAAATGCCTTTTTGTAGTCAATCCATGCCACATTCAGGTTGGTCTTCCTTCTCTTGCAGTTTTCCAAGATCATTTTGTCTATTAGGAGTTGATCTTTTGTTCCTCTGCTATTGGGGCGGTTTCCTTTCTGCTCAGGTGGAAAGAGATTGTTTTCAACTAGATGCTGTTGTACTGCATCAGCTACCACACCAGTTAGTAATTTGAAAGTTGTTGGTAAGCAGGTAATTGGCCTGTAGTTACCTGGTGTTGCCCCTTTTGCTGGATTTTTCATTATTAGGTAGGTTTTCCCAGTTGTTAGCCACTTTTCAATTTCTCCTCCTTGTAGTATATTGTTGAAACTGTTTGGCAATGAGTGGGTGTATAACAGTTAGATGTTTCAACCAAAACCCATGCAGTTCATCTTCACCTGGTGCTGACCAATTTTTGATTTTCTTTGCTCTTTTTTCTACCATTTTTGTTGTTATTACTAGTTCTTTCATTTCAACTTCTGTTTTATTTGCATCCACCTCTTTTAACCAAGCCGCATCCTTGTTGTATTTCTTTGGGTTATCCCATATCTGCTTCCAGAACTGCACTGTTTCTTCCTTGTCAGGTACTGACTGATTCCTTGCAGTTTCTCCATTGATGGATTGGTAGAAACGTTTCTGATTGGATTGAAATTGGAGGTTCTGCCTATAGTTTGCAATTCGAGCTTCATATCTACTGATTTTCCTGGCTATAGCTGTTATTTGTTGCTTTATTATTTCCAGTGCTTCCTTGATCTTCCTTGTTTCTAAGTGGTATTTCTTGATTAGGTATTCTTTGGTCTTCTTGTTCTTCAGCTTCTTTTCTTTCATCTGTTCTAGCTTGCTTGCATGTGATCTTAACTTGCTGATCTTATTTTCTAGTCTAACCTTCCATTTTTCTGGTGCACTGTTTGTTTGTTTTTCTTCTTTGTTGATTTTGCATCCCAGGTATTCTGTTATAATTGCAACTGTGCTGTACATTAGTTGGTTTCTTTCTTGCAATGAATTGGTGCTTATACTTGATATTGCAATATTTGCATCTTTTAATGCTTGTGCTAGCTGTTTCTTTGGAACAAGCTTCAATGCAGGTAGCCTTATTCTGTTGTTTTTGTGCTGTTCTAGATGCTCAGTTATTCTTTGTTTCAATTCTTTTATTTCTTTAGTTAGAGGGTTTTGTTCTTCCTGAGGTAGAGGTGCCTGGTTTCCAAATGAGAACAGTTGTATATCTCTGCTAGATTCCTTCACTGCCAACTCCCCCTGGTTTGCCTCTACATTCTGAATTACTTCTGGTAAGGCTTTGATTTCTTTGCCCTGGGTAAACCTTTGCAGTTCGTCCAATTCTGTTTCTGTGAATACTTTATTTCGTGTTATAAATCGGCGTTGATCTGCTAGTCTCTGTTCTGTTATTTCTGATTCTGGATGTTGTTCTTTCCAGAACTGGTGCATTCGTTTTAGATATCCTCTTCTTGTTGGACTTGATCTGTAGTAACAGATCATTATTTCTTTGTTTTCCATCACTGTGTATCTGCGACGGGTAAACACCTTTTCTTCCAGTAGTTCTGCAGCTGCTGGCCCTGGTTGCTCAGCCAACAGTCCTGATTATTATTATTATTATTATTATTATTATTTATTATTATTATTATTATTATTATTATTATTATTATGATCATCGCACAGTCAGCCAGATGTTCAGACTGGATTTGGCATTTTGTCTACCTATCGAGTCCTTACCCAGGACCTGGGATAGGCAGATGTGGATGTTTGATGGTATTACAGATATCGTCGCAGGATGGAAGCAGTTAATAAGGCCCCTTTTGCAATTGACTAATAGCGAATTTGTCAATGCCAATGGTGTTCAAGTGGTGCTCCAGTTGTTTTGGGATTGCACCCAAGGAGCCTATGACTATTGGTACTACCCTTGCTTGCTTTTGCCACAGTCTTTCTATTTCTATTTGTAGGTCTTTGTATTTTGTTATCTTCTCCAGTTCTTTCTCTTCTATTCTGCTATCTCCAGGCACTGCCACGTCCACTATCCAGACTTTTTTGTCTTTCTTATCGACAATTGTTAAGTCTGGGGTGTTATGTTGCAGGTGCTTGTCTGTTTGAATTCTGAAGTCCCAGAGCAGTTTAATTTTATCATTTTCTATGACTTTCTCTATTTTATGATCCCACCAGTTTTTGCTTACAGGCAAATGATATTTTTTGCAGATCTTCCAATGCACCATTGTTGCTACTTTGTCATGCCGCTGCTTGTAATCAGTTTGTGCAATCTTCTTGCAACAGCTTACCAAGTGGTCCACTGTTTCTTCAGCTTCTTTGCATAGGCGGCACTTACTGTCTGTTGCTGTCTTCTCAATTTTGACTTTGTATGCATTTGTCCTTAAGGCTTGGTCTTGTGCAGCCAGAATTAGTCCCTCGGTCTCTTTCTTCAATTTTCCTGCTCTTAGCCATTGCCAGGTTTTATTATTATCTGCTTTCCCAGCTATTTTTTTCATGTATTGGCCATGTAGTGCTTTGTCTTCCCATGCCTCTATTCTGTTCTTCATTTGGTCTTTCTTGTAGGCCAGTTTGGTCTCTCCAGTAGTTAGTAAGCCTTCCTGATATACTAATTTCAGTGCATCTTCATCATTGTTCTTCAGATATTATTACTATTATTATTATTATTATTATTATTATTATTATTATTATTATTTAGTCTTGTTATCCTAAATGAAACAAAATATTTATCAAGTCACCCATTGCTCTCCATGATAAAGCTTTTTCCTAAATCAGTCATTATTTATTTATTTGATTTCTGTAGCCACCCATCTCAACAGGTGTCACAGGGTAGCATTCATTATAAAATGTAAAAAAATTAAAACATTGAAATAATTAAAGCAGTACAAAATAATATATATAGCATCAAGTAAAACTATTACTATGGATATAAATATATGTTCTTAACACATTTGAAATTCCAAACGTTGGTCCATGACCAAGTCTTCATAATTTTATGGAAGGCCAACAGGTCATGGAAAGTCATTCTACTATCTGCAGAATATTCCAAAAGACAGAGTCTACAGCAGAGATGGCATGTCTCCTGGTTCCCAAACCCAACATTGCTTGACTGCTAGAATCCACACAGCATGCCCAACATCCTTGACCAAACTGGACTAATGGAAACAACTGGAAGTAGATGGTCCCTTAGGTATCCTTAATATCTATGTTATGTTAATGTATGTATATTCATCTATCTGAACAAATGAAAAATAATTCCTATTTCTACTACAATGCTTTAGTAAAGTGACATAACACATTTACTTGAAATTGGCCAACTGAAATTACCCATTAATTTAATTTAATTTATTCATTTGAAATAATCAAAATTAAAATAAATAGCTAAGGGGGAGGTTGTTCATTCACACAATTGGTCTTATAGTAGTCTGAGTATTAGTTCTCATAAAACACCAATTTTTAAAGATAAAATGATGAAGTTGCTGCTTACAATGAATGTCCACTTCTACTTAGTATATTACCTTCCACCAAATTTAAAGGAAAATATTAATTGTACCGGTTTTCTTTTAAATTGTGCTGCAAATTAAAATATTAAAAATAGAGTGAGACAGGAGGTTGATAAGTACCTTATACATAGGCATTTTGGGTATCCTACAATTAATAGCAGTAACATTATTCATTATGAATAGTACCTCCCCCCGTTTAACTGTGTCAGATTCTTATACCTTCATATTAATAGTTACAACTAGAAAATTCCTACACACAACAATCACAACAAACCTTAAAATATGTACTTAAGCCTTACCGTAAACCCGCATCCTCATAATGGGGATGATTCACTATAGGTCGTTGTGCAGATAATTTTACACTTGCCATTGTAGGCATTGCACCGGCAAAAACAGCATCTGAAATAACAGGACATCTAAAAATGCAGGAATAATTGGAAAAAGAACTAGAAACTACCATACATTTTTAGTTGTATCAAACTTTTAAAAATTAACTTCTCCTTCCAAACCATAAAAATATTTATACAATTAGACATAATCTTCTAAAACAGTAGTTCTCAATCTTTCTAATGCCGCGACCCCATAATACAGTTCCCCATGTTGTGGTGACCCCCCAACCACTTATACATCACTGGGTGCCAGGGGCATGGCCAAAGAAAAGGAGGGAAAAATGGTGGACAGCCTTGTTTGGCGACCCCCGTGAAATGGTCGTTCGACCCCAAATGGGGTCCCGACCCACAGGTTGAGAACCACTGTTCTAAAAGTTTCCTTTCTATTTAAAACACGCCTTTCCATTCAAAATGCATTTTATAATTCCACATAATAATAGCATTTATAAAGACAGTTCTTTCTTAAATTGTATCACTTACACGGTAGTCATAATAAATCAGGACACCAGGAATAACTGTTCAATGTTAAACGTGTTAGCCTTCTAGCAGATTTTACATTCAATATTGCAATAAGAAGAGTTTTCTACTCTTGTTTTACCTGGCTTAGTATTTGCTTTTATCCACAGCAGTAGTTCTTCCTGGGGCAAATTGCTAAATTCTCCCACAATACTCCATTCTTTTTGAAGATTTGCTATTCCTTCAAATGCCATCATTGCCAAAATTGTAAGAACAAGTGTTCCAGGTTGGATTTTGTAAAAAACCCATCCAAACAACTGTGAAAGGAAATGATTAGGCACTTAATCAAAGTGATTATTAATGTCAGTTTTAAAACATTACATCAAGCTATTTTAAAACATTGTTCATGCTGATTTAACCACTAAAGTTAATCACAGTAATTATAAACATTCACATCAGTATGACTACTGATTATATTGATTTAAAAAGATTTGAAAACTGTCTTTAATTCCAATAGAAGAGCATGTCTCAAAAGTTTTTCCTTCAAGGAAAAACAAAGAAAGTCCAGTTGCCTTTGGAAAAAGGACTTTTGAGACAACCATGACCTGGATGACTGAAAATCTCCATAGACAAATAGAAGAGATTATAATAACTCAGGATTGAACTGTGGTTCTCTCTGAATTTCATTAGTCAATTAAGTAATATCCTTCCACGAGTTTTTGAGTTATGAATGGAATGTGCAGGCTCCATTACACTCGTAACTCGAGGAATTCCTATACAACAAATTTAAAAACATTTTTTGATCAATGTGCAAACTTTAAAACAAATTTTATGTGTCTAAAAACAATGTAAACTGAGTGAAAATAAGGCTGGTATTGTGGCATGAGAGAATTTCTTAAATGAGATGATAGCAACCAGCAGTTTTTGCAGTCTCTCTCTCTGTGTCAAATTGTTCATTTAGCAAACATTTCACTTGTGATTCAAGGAATAAATTGTGTTTCCAAAGTAAGAGAGGTTGTACTCTATTACAAAGACAATTTAAATTATTAAAAAAATTGTATACATGTAGTTCGTGATTTACATCTACAACTGAGCCCAGACTTAAGTCATGTCAATAGTTAAGTGGGTCATCATGTAACCAACCTGGCTTTATGATTATTTTCATTAAGTGAGCAAGTGAGAAGTAAACATCCATTTCTGGCATAAGTATAAATCATAATTACATGACCAAGGATGTTGTAATGGTAATGGTTGTAAATATTTGCTGGTTGATGAGTGCCTCAAATGCAATCACATGACTGGAAGGCTGCCCCTGGAATTTCAAATCATTTGAAAAGTACCATTTTAGGGTCTGTTGTAATGTCAAGGACTACCTGTATTATCACTTACTCCATAAAATATGTCACTAATAGTAGCAATAATTTACCTGTTTTGAGCATATTAAGGATGCCATAATGCACATATGTGGAGTCAAAAACAACTTTAGTCTCATTATTAAAATGGCAAGTATAGTAAAAAAAAGTAGTTGTAATGCATGGTATACGATCTGCAAATAAAGGAGAGCATAAGAAAGCACAATTGTTTTTAAATGTGGTATAAGGTACATAAGCATTAAGTAACATCTAATTTTTATTGAATCTTGTTTTCTTGGGGCATATTATAATTTTTAAAATGTAAACTTTTTGTAGTTTGAAGTAAAAATTAGGAATTTTAGAAAAAAGCAGCAACAATATTAATGACAAAAATATGTCAAGAATATTAAGCCTTACAGAAACAATACATTCTTAATCCCATGATATGCATCAAAGTAGCAATTTAGAATTATAAAAACTGCTCTGCAAACAACTGGATTACCTAATCTGTCTTTTCTTATTGCTTTAATTTGACATTAACTTTTTAAAAAATGCATAAAATTCCATCTTATTTTAAATAAATATTTTTGAAACAAGACAATGCTGTGCAGAATAAATCTAAGTGGTATTTTGGAAGAAAAGAGAGAATGAGATCCTTACCTCACCCTGATTAAAATAATACTCCTGTCTGAAATAAAAGAAACAAACTTAGTCAATTTGTCTATAAAATTATAAACAAAGCCCTAAACCATATGTTACCTTAAACATTAATTATATCAGTCTTATAAACATTTATAACCATCAGATGATATTCTATGCTTCAGTTATAGTTTGCAGATTGATGATAAATATAAAAATGAACTTGATCTATAGGTATTGTCCTGTGAGATCTTCCCCTCTGTAGTACATTAGGTTACAATTGAAATTTTTAGGTACCTTTTTTTTAACTTTTTTATATTGCCTTTTCCTAGCGTTAACTGTTATAATGTCTTTCTTTTTAAGGATTTTTAAAACTTTACTCAATTTAATTCTTGATTTTAATTTTGGTATGTTTTAATTACACTAACTTTCTGAGCTACTTAGGTCTATTAATGAGGAGAAGTTATATATTTTTAATATATAACAAAATCGTGGAATACATCTCCTTCAAACAAACAATTACAAAATTATAGATCTTTAAATAACTGAAATTATGAACTTTTAAAAGATGAATTGCATCAACATTGAATCAACAACATTACTGGTACTCTGTTTATCAGGAGCAGTCTATTCCCAGAAGATGCTGTTATAGAAGATTAGCAACTAAACTTATCTGAGAACAATATAAACATGAATTTCATTGAATATAGGTAAAGGTAAAGATTTCCCCTGTCCAGTTGTGTCTGATTCTAAGGAGTGGTGTTAATCTCCATTTCTTAACCAAGGGGGGCAGTGTTGTCCAAAGACATTTCCATCCTCATGTGACCAGCATGACTGTAACTGAGGACCAGAGAAAGCTGTTACCCTCCCACCGAATTGGTACCTATTTACCTACTTGCATTTGCATGCTTTGAATTGCTAGGTGGCAGGAGCTGTGGCAAGTAATGGGAGCTCACCCCTTCATGCAGCACTCAGGTCTTGAACCTGGGCTGTCACCTTTCCAGCTGATAAGCTCAGCATCTTTAACCGTTAAGCCATTGCTCCTGTTATTGAATATATATGTAAAAAAACAGCCACTTGCAGTCACAGGACAGGCAGTTCTACTCTATGAGCAGAATGGAATTCCTGTGATGGACCAGAAGGAAGCTCAGACCACAAAGATCCAAGCTTTGTTTCTCCAGCCTTCCCCTCCTGCTCTGGGACAGAGAAAGAAGATTGGATTCCAAAGACTCAAGCTTCCTTTTTGTGATCCAATGTGGCAGTTACCTTCCTCTGTGTGCTAGCCTTTATAACCTTCAGAAACATTGCATTCACTAGCTTTCTGACAAATACCATTTTTCTAAACAGTAAAGAGGCCAGAAAAGGCATTCTTTAGCTTTCTGACTGGAGACTCTCTTTGAATGGTCATTAAGTGACTGGACCACCTGTACTTAATATATGATAGGGTAGATGAATTTGTACTATAAAGTATGGTACTTATATTTCATTTAACAATTGTCTTTCACAAACCTCTGAATATAGAACTTTTCCCATTGCTCTATAAACAATAAACTTTCAAGACCTATGTAATACAGAACATCCACCTTAGTTTTCAGAATTGGGAACTTCATGCCTGCATGATATTTTTGTATTGTGAAGGAGGCTCCTATAAGCTCAGAACCAAGAAAGGAAGTCCGTTTTATTGTGTGCAAGATATGGAACACTAAAAAGAGAAATCAGATCTTTTGTAGTTAATATCTAGAGAAAATGACAAACTGATGTTAAAGGCTGAGAAATCCTTTAAACCTTTAAAGATGCACAACATTACTAATAGTATTTCTCTAATTGGATTTTCAATAAAAATATATTTACCTTTCAGAGGATTTCTCTTTAAGCATAACATATTGAAATGCCTATGAAACATTGATTAAAAAGTAAGCAAGTTAATTTTTTTTCTTCAAGGACATGTATGAATTACAAATGAAGAGATATTTATTGCTAGTCGTTTACATGGTCTTGCACTACATTACTTTAGACATTAACTTAGTCATTCATATCTGAATGAGCAAGACTTTGTTCTGTTACATTATTGCAAAAAGGCTAAATAAATCTATTAGGTATAACTGAAATGTGAATGGAAGAAAAATGTGTGCAAGTAGTTTTTTTTGCTTTCCCCTTCTCTCTTGATACATCCCTTTACATCATCTGAAAAATATATCTACAGCATCAGTCAAAAAGTCTAAAATGTGACTTTCTTAATTATAGTAGGAATTGAGGTAGGATGGAGGGAAAATTATCTAAAATTAGTAAAAGTATTTTGCACATAATAGCTAATTTCAAATAATTCCTCCATTTTTCACATTTCCTAACCCCCTGCACAAGCACTCCTCATTTAGCAACTGCCTTGGATAGTGACCATTTGCAAATGTAACAGTAATAAATGGAAATAAAAATCATTTTCCAACCAATGTGTACATTTACTACAACAAATACTTTCAATGTGAAATTGATTAGTTTGTTCAGTTTCAGGTAGCAATTGCCAGTTAAAGGTTCCAATTAACTAATTAATGAGCTCAGCTTGTTAACTTGCACTTTTTAAAGAAGTGCTGCACTGCAGAGAAAAACAGTTCAGGAAGAGATAGCTGAGAGGAGGCAAAAAAAGAAAAAAAAAACAGATCAGAAAAAGGACAGTGTGTGAGAAAATTTTATCTGAATGTGATGGCAGGAACAACGATCTTCACAGTTTCACACTTTCTCTGATATATGATGCACCTAGCAACTATTTCACTGAAATAAATTGCAATCACTAAATGAGACCTAGTGGTACTTCTATAAACCTCTATATTAATCTTCTGGAAGGCTTTTCAGGGCAGGAAAAGGTATAAAGACTCATTCTGATGTTTTGCCTAAGAATGTATTGAATTGCCTATGCTATTCAATACATTCAAAACTGTACCGTTCATCTGCATTTATGAATAACAAAAGTTGACAACACAGAGGTTACATTCAACCTTTAAACTGCTTTTATGTGGATGGCAGGATCCTGGGATTGTTCCACCAAAATTGGGTAGCTGAAGATTGAACCCTGTATTTTTGATCTCCAAGAACTATTTTGTTTTAAACATGTGACACAATATGTTAAAGGTAAAATAAAAAAGAGTGATGGCATACCTTTACAACAATTACTGAAAAAAGAATAAGAACTACTGGAAGCAGGAGTGTCTTCATATATCTAACTGGAGTCTGAAATTAAATTAAATTTTATGTAGAGAAATTTGATGATAAAAGTGTAAAATAATCATTTTTAGGAAATAGTCACAATTACTCCTAGTAAGTCAGTATTTTATTTTGTATGGCATTTTCAACTATCACATCTATGCATTTCTGTCCCCCTTCTTTCTACTTAAAAAGTTCTGCTTCAACTAAGCTTATATGCAAGTTTATTTTGTAAAATTCCTTCATTTAAAATGAAACTTTTTAATTTATATTTTTTGCATTAGGAAAATCATTCTTGAAAGACATCATATAAACACATCATAAGATTTAGAATCCTCTATCTACATAGAATCTTCTATTGGGTTCATGTGGATTATTTTGTATAGTTAAATTATTGGAAATAATTCTTATTTATGCCTATCATTTTAGCAATTACACATTTGGCAAACTGTTTTAGTTTGGACTGTGAAATCTTTGGACCGTAATAAATATTGTAAATATGTATTTGTTCTGAATTCATTTCAGTGATTATTTCTACTATGTTAGATGGGGCTTGTTTTGAAATAGAATTTAATTCACTTTTAAATAAGTGGTTTTACTTAATATTCCTGCAAGTTTACATATTTTTGCAGTAAAAAGTAAACTATTATGCTACTGAATAGACTGGCTTATGGATTATATGATCAATCATTTTGGTTCAATCTAGCTACAAAAACAATGATGCAGAAACCTAAACAAACATCAAGAAAGTAATAAGCAAAGATAAAGTGAACAGCATTTTAACTTCAACCTTAATCTATATCGTATATAAATTTCCCATGTGTGAAAAATGAACACTTTGTCATTCATATGCAAATTATTCAGAATAGCGCTTAGACCGAGTATTTGAAGAGTCTCTGCTTTTGCATAAACACTAACACATATATGCACTTAGTCTAGCCAAAATGTCATTTTGGATGGAGATGAGCTGGCAAAGTAGAAAAAAGACAGATAAAAATTATAAGTTTTTAAAAGATTTTTAGTAGAATTAGTCCTTGATTTAGGACCAGTAACTTAGTAACCAGTAACCATTTTAAGTTATAACAGACATATCTTGGGAATAGTTACAACCCATATTTGAAGTTCCAAAAGTTGTCCCTCCAGTCAAAGGACCTCAGCAACACGGCTTCACTTATAGCCATTTGCAGTTCCCTGTGACCATGTGACTGCATGTTTTACTGAAAACCAGCAACTACTTCCAGCTTTTGCCCAAACCGCACTCATGGTGAATCATTGATTTGCTTAACCACCAAAAAATAAGTCATAAAATTTGATCTGACATATGGCCGATTTGTTTTACAACTATCACAACTTAGTACTGTGATGGCCCAATTACAGTTATAACTCAAACACTATCTATATCAATAGATTTGTATGTTAATTTTTATTAATTGCAAAAAGATTGAAATGTATTAAATCAATGAATCAATGATACTTACCTCTTTTTCCATGAAATCAAACTCCACAGCACAAGTATACATTGATGTATCAAAATCTCTATAACCGGTAAGTTTTGCTTTTAACAGATTACTTATATGGACCTAATTGAAAAAAAATGACAGTGAAATGTTTGTTAGACAAATTAGTTCACATTTTAAAAAAAAATTAAATTAATGTATTATGTATGTTTGTATGTGAGCTATAATGTAAAATGGGTAAGTAACTATTATTGGTTCATAACTATAATCAGTTTTATTCATGGTATCAGAATACACTGCAAGAAATGGGCAGAATTCAATTTTAAAAAGGCCAGGAAATTGGTAGATGCATATGTTTCACTATATTTATTTCCAAATTATTTACTTCTCCTTTCCATGCAACAACAATTCATATCTAGATCAGGGCTTTTCAACTTGTGGTACACTAATGAGTGGCAGGTGGTACACAGCCCTGCCTAACCAAGTGTAGTGGGGGAGGGAAAGAGCCAGCACAGGCAAGGACTTGCAGTTAGAGTCCTCTGGAACTGCAAAGGCCCCAGGCTCACTTCTGGCTCACCCTCCCCCATGAGAAAGGAGGAAGGGGCCGGAGACAAGAGAGCCTATAAAAGGAGGCAGTTTGGACAGGAGAGGGAGAGAGAAAAAAGGCAGCAGCCTTGGGAGGAGGCAGAGTCAGCTGCACCAAAGGGGAAAAAGAAGGAGGGGGAGGGTGGGGGGAGAGGAGATCAAGCAGGCTGGCCATGAGCCCATCTACAACTGCTGTGGCAGCCACCTGTGCTGGAAGCAGCAAACAGGCAAGAAATGCAGCGGGGGAGGGGTCACCCTCCAAGAGGAATGAAAAAAGGCAGCAATGGCTGGAGGTGAGGCACGGAGGAGGGAAGGAGATGGAGAATGGAAGGATTCTTATGTGCATTTGTGACTTTGAAGTTCTGGGATTTGGGCAATGAGGGCTTTGTGTTCTTAAGGAGTATTTGGCAATTTCTATTTGGCTGATGGCTGATTTCTCCTGTTAGCTTCTATTGCTCTGCTGTTGTTAGCTGTAAGTTTTGCTGCAAGGGATTTTGAAGTATTTTTCTCCTGAATGGATTTTGCCTGTAACATTCCTTTACTTATGAATGGAGCCATTTGGGGAGGTTGCCTTAGCCGGCAGCCAGTACTTACTTTTTTTTTCTTCCTTAAGTGCTGGCTGCGCTCCTTACTTTCCTTTCTAGTAGATAATTCTTAAAGGGGAATGCGCCTTAAGCTAGTTCACTTAGCAGCTTCTCTTTTCTGTCTCTGGAGGCCTTTCCTTGTTTGATTAATATATGGAAGAGGGAAAATATGGGGGGGTCAAATTTTTCCTTCAGAAGAGATGGGAATGAGAAAAAGGGAGGCAGGGAAGGGAGGGAGGAAAGGAAGTCCCACCTTAGCACTTTCCACTAGCAGCTCTACCATTGACTTTGCTTGTCAAAAGGTTGCAGAAGAGGATCACATGACCCTGGAACACTGTGACCATTATAAATATGAATCAGTTGCCAAGCATCCAAATATAAATCACATGACCCTGGGCATGCTGCAATGGTCATAAGTGAAAAATGGTCATAAGTCATTTCAGTGCAATTGCAACTTTGAACAGTTTTTTTTTTTGTCATCAAGTTTTTGACACCTTGCTAGGTGGTACTTGAATACTGCCATATCCTAAAAGTGGTACAATCGGTAAAAAGGTTGAAAAGCCCTGGTCTAGATCACTCTATAACTGGCTCTGGGCCAGCCATTGGAGATGATCTGAAAGCTACAGCTAACACAATGTGACAAGATTGGTAGTGGAATGACTCTGCTGATTTAAAATAACATCTATTTTAAAGCTGATGCATTGAGTACAGTAGGCTTCCATGTATATTTAGAGTGCTATTACCTTTAAAGTCCTACACAATATTGTACTGGATTATGTGAAACAATACTTTACTGAATACAATCTGCCCATCTGATCTAGTTTCCCAGAGATGGCCTGCTAAGAATCTCTATTGTTTGTGAGGTACATGGATGCTAACAAGCTAGCAGGTGTTCTTAATAACCTCTACTTGAGACAGTCCTCTCCCCTTGGAAATCTTTTCCAACAGATCTTTGGCTTAAACTGATTGGCGGGCAACCAGACACTTCTGCAATTCACTAAGAGCAACAAAATTTGCAACCTACAATAATTTCTAGCATCTCACCAGCATAAAATAGTGAAGAAAGAGGGATAGAAGAATGCCCCTGAAAAAGTTTCAGTAGCTTCTGGGTTAGTGACAAAAGGAGGCTTAGTTTTTCATTCCAAATATCAGGACGTATTATTTGACATTTGCTTCAAATCTCAAAGGAAGAGCACTGTGAAACTCAACTGCACCAGACAGTACACCTGATACAGCCATAGCGTAAGACATTTATAAACTGTCCAATTACTTACTACTGCACAATGATTGCTGTGTTCCATTATATTCTTCAGGTAGCACATCCAGTGGAAGGTAAAGAGGTTCAAGGAGGGTGATTAATTAATAGATCTAAACTTAATATCAATTTACTTTTTAAACTATACTACAATTCATGGGCATAATTCTCAAGTATATTTTTACAACTTCAGGTAAAACTATGGCATCTAATATGAAAATGTAACATTATACATATTACCAGAAGAGAATACAAAATATACAAAGCTAACAAACATTATTTGGATAGCAAACATAAAAACTAACTTTTAACTTACATCATCAGATATTCCAAATATTAGACACATCAAGAATTTCAAGATAATTGTCCCAAACAGGCAAGAAAATCCTTCCAAAGCCTATAAAAATGATAAGAACAGATGGAATAGGGACAACATCCTCCAGATTGGATCAATTATATTTGATTGCAATTTCCCTAAACTGTGCTTACATTTATTCTGCTCCCAAACTACTAGAAACTACTGTTTTAAAAATGGGAGAGGCAAAATCTGATTCATCTTGATTTTTCTTCAAATCCAACAATTTTTCTCATTTTTTTACAGAAAATATTCAGTCATTACTGCTTAAAATATGAAGGAAATAATTGACCAGTATTAATAAAAGTATATATTGGAAAGACTTCCACATAAGTACAACTATAATTATTGTAACAAAATAGTTACTTTAATTTTACCTAATTGTTTGTTCTGAACCATATTCTAGGTTTAAATAAATCAGGAAGTTTTCATTCAAGATGTGCTACAAGGAACTGAATAAAGATTTTTGCTTATGTTTCTCTGAATGGTCCAAATTATTTTCTCAGCCATTCTTTTATTATTAAATCTAATTGTAAGCCATGATTTTACCAATTCAAAAACTAATAATAACTTGAATCCTTTGCTGCAATGAGATGCAATAGCAACCTGTAGTTTACCCACAAATAGGGAGTTACCCACAAAAAGTTGAGAAAATATTTGGATAGAAGAAAAAGTAGCATGCAAGCAAAGTATTTTGCTCTGCCTGTGCTTGCAATACTGTGTTTATAGCATCAGGATTTCTTTATTTACAACACTGATGAGTAGCTGAAATAGAATATGTGAATGACCTTGGAGGATGAGGGAGAGAGATGCTAACCAGGAAAAAAAAAAGACAAGAAAAGGAGGCACTCGCTAGAGCAGTGGCTCTCAACCTTTTTAATGCCGTGACCCCCAACCGGTTGTAAGTCGAGGACTACTCAACCGGTTGTAAATCGAGGACTACTCAACTAGGAACTGCTTCCATCCTGCGACGATATCTGTAATACTATCAAACATCCACATCTGCCTATCTCAGGTCCTGGGTAAGGACTCGATAGGTAGACAAAATGCCAAATCCAGTCTGAACATCTGGCTGACTGTGTGATGATTAATAATAATAATAATAATAATAATAATAATAATAATAATAATAATAATGTTGAAAGGGACCTTGGAGGTCATCTAGTCCAACCCCCTGCTCAGGCAGGAAACCCTATACCATTTTGGACAAATGGCTATCCAGTTTCTTCTTAAAAACTTCCAGTGTTGGAGCATTCACCGCTTCTGGAGGCAGGTTGTTCCACTGGTTAATTGTTCTAACTGTCAGGAAGTTTCTCCTTAGTTCTAGGTTGCTTCTCTCTTTGGTTAGTTTCCATCCATTGCTTCTTGTCCTGCCTTCAGGCGCTTTGGAAAATAGCTTGACTCCCTCTTCTTTGTGGCAGCCCCTGAGATATTGGAACACTGCTATCATGTCCCCCCTCGTCCTTCTCTTCGTTAAACTAGACATACCCAATTCCAGCAACCGTTCCTGTCCCCTAATCATCTTTGTTGCTCTTCTCTGTACTCTTCCTAGAGTCTCAACATCTTTTTTTACATCGTGGTGACCACTACAATTTAATTGTCTAATTCCATAATTTACAATACAGTGTCAAATTTCTTAAATTTTCTAACAAGTGTACTCCTATTCCCAGAATTCCTAGCATATGTTGGGAAATTTTAGGATCTGAAATGTCTGCTTCAGAGCAATATTTATAGACCTATATTCCATGTTAAATAACTCATAGTTTCATTCTGTATATTTGTCTGTCATTAGGACATGATTATTGACATTTCATCAAGCAAAGCAGAAAACTCTGAAATGTTTGACTTTTTGCTCCATACTCTCTATAAATTTTCCAAAAGTAGTGAAATGGAAGACCATTTCTACAGAACAACAAGAAATGTATTTTTTTCCTAGATCAGGGGTAGGCAACCCAAAACATTTAAAGAGCCACTTGGACCCGTTTCCCACCAAAAACAAAACACTGGGAGCCGCAAAACCCTTTTGATATCTAAAATGAAGATAACACTGCATATATCCTTTTTTACCTTTATTATAGGTGTGTGTTTGTGTGTGTGTATGTATATATGTATATGTATATGTATGTATGTATGTGTATACACACACACACACACAGGTAAAAAAAGGATATATGCAGTGTTATCTTCATTTTAGATGTCAAAAGGGTCTCTCTCTCTGTGTCTCTCTCTCCCTCCCTCTCTATCTGCCTCTCTATCTCCTCTTCCCTCCCCCCCGCTTTCTTTCTTTCTTTCTCTCTCTCTCTCCCTCTCTTTTTTTCTCTCTTTCTGCCCCCCCTCCTATCTGCTGCTCACCTGGCAAGCTTCAAGCTGTTGTCCAACAAGCAACCTCGTCTCTTTTATGACTCATGGACTTCAACTCCCAGAATTCCTGAGTCAGCCTAGCTGGGCTAGCTAGCTCTCTCCTGCCCTTCCTGCTTCCTGCTTCCTGCAGAGACGCAGCAAAGGGAGGAGTTCCACCCAGTAAGCTTTTCAGCTCCTCGGAGAATACTGTGAGTGCACTCTCTTTTACACAGACACACACACAGACACACACACACACACACACACACACACACACACAGAGAGAGAGAGAGAGAGAGAGAGAGAGAGAGAGAAAAGCAGGGAAGCGCAATTGCCTCTCTCTGTTTCTGTCTCTCTCTGCAAAGGCAGAGGAGGCTGGGAGCCACAGGGGAAGTCCCAAAGAGCCGCATGCGGCTCCGGAGCCGCAGGTTGCCGACCTGTGTCCTAGATGATGTGAAGACCATTGTATCTATATTATGGGAGCAAGACCTCCTAACTACTAAAGATATTTAAGAAGAGATATATCATCTGCATCCAAGATAATCATAATGGTTCTATTAGGTGACAAGAGTGGGTACAATTCTGGCCTTGACAGAGTTTGCCCCCATACATTTAAAAAGAAGTTGAAAAAAATGGGGGGCAATACATACACTTCAATTCATTCTATGTGGTTACAGCTACAATACTGGAAGAATGAAAACAAGGGATTCTAAAACTATATCAAAATTATGTAAATTTATTCTTACACTACTTCATGATAGTAGACATTTTTAATAATATATTTCCATAGATCAGTGGTTCTCAACCTTTTTAATGCCGCGACCCCCAACCGGTTGTAAGTCGAGGACTACTCAACCGGTCATAAGTCGAGGACTACTCAACTGGTGCAGCACCGTTTGCAGAATGGGACTGTTGGCGGGCTCAGCAGGGCAGTGACAGCCTGGACAATTCCTATTGGCTTTTGAAAGCCAATAGAATTAGACTATTCAAGAGAGTCTATTCTATTGGCTTTCAAAAGCCAATAGAATAAAAGGGAGTAGCACAGCTAAGGAAAAGGGGAAAAAATGGCGGACTGCGTTGTTTGGCGACCCCCGTGAAATGGTCGTTCGACCCCAAATGGGGTCCCGACCCACAGGTTGAGAACCATTGCGCTAGAGCTTAGGTGTAGGAGAAAGAAATTAGGAAGAAACAACCCTAATAGATAAAATGTTAAAAATGGCAACTGAGGTTTGTACCTTCAGACTAGTAAGAGTCTATTAATATAGCTTTTACAATAAAGTAGATATAGTTGATACAGTCATGTTTCCTGTCTGGTTTATCCAGGAAGGCTGACAGTAGCTTACCAAACTCATAAAATATACTCTCTCCTTCTTTAATGACTGTATTCTGTTCCTCAATTTGGTTATTAAGAGAAATGGTCACTAAGTGAACATGTGACAGAAAGGGAGCGAGAGGGAGAGTGTGTAAAAAAATCATTGGTTGCTGCGGTCCTTATTCAGATAAAGTTCTCTATATTGTGTCCTGTGCAATATAGCAGAAATTGCTTAAATAAGCTATCTTTTCCTGAATTGCTTTTCTTTGCAACATAGCACATCCCTAAAAAATCCTAACCACAAGTTAACATGCTCAGCTCTGTGATTTTAATTAGTTTGGCTGGCTTGACTGTTGCCTGAAATTAACCAGACCTTAATTGGTTTCATACAGATAGTTTTTGTTGTCAGGGCATAAAACTTGGTCATAAATAAACACTTTGATCAGAAAATAAATTTTATTATTATGACAGAAATTTTTATTACTGTCAAATTTGCAAAGGATTATTATTAATCAAAGCAAATGCTAAACCAGGAGTGATCACACTAAAATAATTTTACAAATATCACAATGATGTAAATCAGAGTTTAAAAAATAAAAATGGGGATAATAAAGAAATGTTGGACAAATAGCAAAAAAAAAAAGAATCAAATTTACTATTAAACAGATAAATAATAAAATTTACTTGAAAAGACCAATATAACATTAATATTTATATAGTTTAAAAATCATCTTATTGATCAAACATCTGATAATATTCATGCCATAAAATAATACCTTACCCACAAAGGAATATTTTTGGTATACAATTTCAGATACTTGGGTCCCAGTTCCAGAATACTCTAAAATAAGAAATTTTTTGTATTAACACTTGCAGCTTAAGCATTGGTTCCAGAAAATGAAGCAATAAATAAGTAAAAATGGTATCAGATACACCTGAAAAAGTATTCTAAAACTGTAAAGTTAACCTTGTTGTGAAACTGATTATTGCATAAACTGATAAGTATCACCACTGCTAATTCAACTTGTAGAGATTAAGTCACTCAACTAGGCTGGCACAATTCTATGGAATTTTAGTATAAATAATTTGCCTATCATGTAGTCTGACAGTCAATGTAAATCCCATTTTGTAATATATAAAAGCAATTAACTACAATTAAAATATTTTTAAAAAGCTGCTCTAAGAATATTTAGATTTTTTTCAAGCATATGTAGGGCACATCCATATTCATTCATAGTGAAAGATGAGGATTTCAGGAAGCCCATAATATTTTGTTGTCATCTTAATTTAATTTGAAATACAAATTATAGTTTTCCCTAAGCCTATCAATGCCTTTCTTAATTAAATAAAGATTAAACATCTTTAATCTACTAAATATTAGCATTAGGCTAATGATTTTATTACTATATTACAAAACTATCAACATTTTCTGCAAAGAGTCACTTTGCAGAATGAGATGGACAGCATATCAATTTAACAAATAAATAAATAATTTTCTGCAACTGCATGACATTCAGAAGATATTACAGTTGAAACTAGAAATAATTTTGTAGAGACTGAAACATATTTAATTCACTGAGCTAATAAAGAAAAAAAAGGATCTAGAAACACATTCTATTTTTTGATATTATGATACAGATAAAGGGCATCTGGTAAAAGACTTGTTATACTTACAAAGACTAGGGAGAATGTATTTTAAAGAAGACTGACAAAAAATGTGAACCTCCCTAAATAAAATCTTCAGAGGAAGAGATAGTGTGACATCAAGCACAGGGAATCCAAAAATGAATATATAAATAAAAGAGGGAGTAGTTCAAGTTAAGTGATCCCCAAGGTTCCAGTCTTGCTATACAAATTTACGGATTGTAGGGAATCAACAACCTGAAAAAACTAGCAGTTTTAATTAAAAATAGTCAATTTAATAAACTTTACTAAAACCTAGTGGAACAAAATTTAAAGGGCATAGGCCAGAAATAGTGTTAGGTTTGGAGAAGGGTCACTGGTGCCTTTATATGTGAAGAAAGATCCAGGAGTCTGAACAGAGGGACCAGTCAAGAATCTTTTGGTATGAATACAAGAAAAGGTAAGAACAAAAAATGTACAGTATTGTAGGGGTTCCTCACCCAGACCAAGATGTTAAGAAAGGAACAAACATTATTCAATTTGCTGGAAATAAGATTATGCCAAAGAACCACAAAGCTTATTATAGAAATGAAACAGGGGTTGAACAAAAATAGATAAAATATGCAGATATATCAGAACACTCTACAGATTATATCAAATTAAAATCCAGAGAATGGAAAGTTTTCTTGTCTTCAAATACATAAGCCATTTTTTTACAATACAGGTAGTCCTTGACCTATAAGCTTGTTTAGTGAGCATTCGAAGTTACAACTGCATTGAAAAAAGTGATTACCATTTTTCACACTTACAACTGTTGCAGCATCTCCATGGTCATATGATCAAATTTCAAATGCTTAGCAATTGACTCACATTTCACGAATGAAGGCAAATATACATTATCCCAGGATAATGTTGCAGAAGCCAATCGGAGTCAGTCACCAGCACCTGAGGGTTTGTTCTTCCAGCTTTTGGACTTGTGCTGGAGCCTATCCTCAGGGAACTTCTCAGTCTCCAGAATGTCTGCACTGGACTGTTCTATGCATAATATTTACCTGATGCCTGAGTGTGTGTGGTTTTAGTTGTTGATTGGGGTATTGATGGCTAGCTATTAAGTCATGGTTGTTTTCTTTTGCTGCTGCTTCTTCAGCTCCTAAGTACCTGGTAAGCTAGTGATAAATTGGCACTGTTGACTGACAAGAGGCCATTTCTCAGACTTCAATCATTTATCTGGCCATTTTTGTCCCTGCTGGGGACAAAGTAGCTACGAAATTGAATGCATGACTTTGTTTATTGCAATGTGAGGCTAACAATAAGTTCGGGTCTCCTTCTCTAACTGCTCATGTTCTTGTACCCCAATGATTCGCTTCCTTCCCATTTATCCTACCTTCACAGGGGCAAGCCATGGAAGAATCTGGTAAATTACATTAGAAATTTCTTCCACCTCCAAATGGTCTTTCTACTGCATGACTTGACCTTGTATGGTAGACTCTGGGAGATGGGCAATGCTCACCTGCAGACCTCAGAAGCTACGTTCTATTGCTTCCAAAATGTTTTTGATATATGGCAGGGTATGCTTTTTTTCTTGTACTTTTTTTCTTCCTTTCCCTCCCCAGCATGTTGCTCAGGCATCTTGTGATAAACGCTTATGAATATCCTTCTGCTTGAATTGTTCACATAGGTACCTGCTCTCCAGTTGTTTTGCTTATTGTGTACTACAATGGGTTCTCAATCTGCCATATAGTGTTTTAATGCAACTTTTTATGTGACAGTGGATGGTTATTGCTGAAACACAGAATGCATGGAGTTTGGTAGCCTTGCAATATACTATGGCTTCTCAGCTTCCATCTTCCTGTATGTCGACAAGCATACATAGTCTAGTCATTTTTTTCCTCCACTGTGAATTGTTTATCCAGGAAAATGGAGTTCAGTAGGGTATGAAAGTCTTTGAGAATATTTCTTTTGATGATGACAAAGGTATCATCCATGCCAAAGTCTGTGTGTAATTATGAAATGCACAGTGTTCTAGTTCTGATAAAACTGATTCTTCAATGACTTCTGATATTGGGGATCAATATTTGCTTATACATTTCTCTTTTAAATATTAAAAAGGCAGTTCTGGTAATAGGCTACAATATGAGGCTAAATAATCCAGAACAAAAACCATTTGGAGGTGGGAGAAACTTCTAATGTAATTTACGAGATTCCCCTCATGGATTGCCCTGTGACTATGTAGGACAGACAGGGAAGATTACAATAACACGAGTGGTTAGACAAGAAGACCCAAACTCATTGGTAGCCTCACATTGGATTAAATAAAGGCATGCATTGCAAATAGGAAGAACAAATCTCTGGTCCCGGTGACTGACTCAGATTGGATCCGGACTCATATCCATGACAGTTGCAGTGACCCCATGTCATGTGATCACCTTTTGTGGCCTTCTGATAACAAAGTCAATAGGGAAGCCAGATTCACTTAACAATTATGTTTCTAACTTAACGACTGCAGTGATTCACTTAAACAAGTGTGGCAAGAAAGGTCATAGAATAGGGCAAAATTCACTTTAAAATGTCTCACTTTGAAATTGAATTGTTTTGCTCAGTTGTGGTCTACCTGTATAAGCTGCATGAAATATTCAGCTTAGATAATATGACTACTGTAGATATGAAAAAGATGTAAAAATGTACTGTATGAATTTTACAAGGATCAAACTGTAAGTGAAAAGATTTTGTTAACCTCAGATGAGAAATTAATCAAGAAAATGTATAACTTTTTGTTAATTTTAGATATGGAAAGTGAACAAGTGAAAGAAACAATGACAAGATGGGCAAATTTTTTTGGCTATAATATAGAATTAGAAAAATGGCAAATGTTATGAGAGAGAAACTATAAATTAACAATGTCAACTTCATACAAAGAAAATCTGTATAAAATGTTTTATAGACGGCACCTACCGCCAGCAAGATTAGCAAAAATGTTTAAAAATATGACAGATAGATGTTGGAAATGTAAACATAACATAGGCACGTATTATCACATTTGGTGGACATGTGGTAAGGCAAAGGCCTATTGGAGAAAGATACATATGTGGTTAGAAAAAATATTGGGTGAACAAGTGGATTTTAAACCTGAACTTTTTTTACTAGGTATTATGCCTGAAAAGACTAATAAGCAGAAATTTTATTTAATCTTACACATTACTACAGCAGCGAAAATAATTTTTGCACAATACTGGAAAAATGAAGGACTGTCATCAGAGGAAGAAATAATCAGGAAAATATTGGAATATGCAGAGACGGACAGATTAACTATGAGGTTGAAAGACAAAGAAGATACAGACTACTATCAAATTTGGAACTTATTTTATTCTTGGCTAGAGGAAAGAATGAAGGATTAGGATATTTTGCTGGGAAAAAAAACCAATAAAATCTCTATAAATAAAATATGACTACTATAATTGTACACTAAGTAAATCATTATTGGCTATTTGTTTAAGACTTACCCAGCTGACTATCAAAAAGGCAGCATAATAGGATGTCATCAACATAGAATTTCCAAACATAAAGACAAAGCATACAGTAAGAGATACCTGATGTGACATAAATAAATATGTTAATTAAAATTGCAGAGGCATGACAAATATGTAGAGTATCTACCTACAAGATTTAAAAAAAACAAATAGTGTATAAGATGCTATCTTATACATTATTTAAATTATTTAAAATAATGTATCATTTGACAAAAGATACACAAATATAAACCACTCTTGTAAAAAAATAGAATATTTGGTCTATATATCATGGTGACATTTTATATACAAATTTATATACAAATTAATCATGTTTGTTCATTTAAAAAACAGCAGCTGACATGTTTTCAAATTGGACTGTAAGCACTTAAAAGAGGATGATGGGGAGAGAGAAAAAAATGGGTATTAATCCTCATTGAATCATTAATCCCCACTGAAGCATTGAATCAATAGTCACTCATTCAATGACTGTTCAAATTTGCAATGTCGTTTGAATGAGAGGGACCTAGGAGGGGTCCTCACAGTTGGTACCATTGCAACATTCGGTGATCATTAATTATAATTTGGGTGCTTGCAATCAGCATGCAATTACAATGTTGCAGTCTGCCGTGATCACCTGATCACCATTTGTGACCGTCACTGCTGCTTCTTACAAGTAAAGTTAAAGTGGAATCAAGAAGCTACATGCAGTGACATGTGACTATGGAATATTGCAATCATGTGACAGCAACTAGGACGAACAATGGATTTACTTAATGACTAATGCATTTACTTATTGTTGTTGCAAAAGATGTTGTAAAACTGGGCATGGTCACATCATGACCCGCTTCACAACTGTCACGACTTATGACTGTAATTACAGGCTCAGTTGTGATCATAGATTAGGGACTATCTATACTAATAAAAGCCTGAGTGACATTTATCTTCCCTTCCTGTTTTATTTCAATGAGTAAGGGAGGAGCCTGCCTGAGTCTCTTTTGAATGCTATTTTGTTTTATAGGAATTAAAGAATCCTTTAGCCTAGTGGTTCTCAACCTGTGGGTTGGGATCCCATTTGGGGTCAAACGACCATTTCATGGGGGTCGCCAAACAAGGCTGTCCGCCATTTTTTCCCCCTTTTCTTTGGCCACGCCCCTGGCACCCGGTGATGTATAAGTGGTTGGGGGTCACCACAACATCGGGAACTGTATTATGGGGTCGCGGCATTAGAAAGGTTGAGAACCACTGCTTTAGCCTTCTTTGATTATGTAACAATTCTTGTGTATTTCTGTCAAGATCACCTCTCTTACACATTACAGCATGATTAAAAAGTGAGCTAACATTTTGTTATTAATTAAAAACATTTAACATTCTTTACAGAATAATCATAAGTAGAAACATTCAGAAATTTGTTTTATCAAAGAATATTGTTAAAAATGTAAAGGAAATATTACCATATGTGCATAAAGTATCTTCTGTAGTTTAGCTGAATCAATAAATCCCAATATGTATACACCAAATACAGATGCTACCTGCAATTGAAAAAAATAAAGTACATTTTACCTAAAATATTTTAAAGAAAGGTATCAAAGCTCCAAATTATTCATCTTGTGAAAATGAACTGAAAAAATGGAAAGAGAAAAGGAACATAATAATAATAATGATAATAATAATAATAATAATTATCCCCCAGTGAGGCACTACCTTGACGTGGTTGTGGGGCTTGTGTACTCTGAGGAAGATGAGAGCTATGCCAGAGGTTCAACCATACTGGACAGGTCTCATCAGAGGAGTCAGACAAAGAGTGTCTCTCCCATAAAAAATATGGTGAGACGTAAATTTCAGAATGCCATACCGGCTCGGACGTCGCCCGGGTTAACAAGGTCCGCACTAGATATTGGAGTTCCTGGATATCTGGTGAAAAATGGGTTACAGGACTCAGGACTGTTGGCTGAGCAACCAGGGCCAGCAGCTGCAGAACTACTGGAAGAAAAGGTGTTTACCCGTCGCAGATACACAGTGATGGAAAACAAAGAAATAATGATCTGTTACTACAGATCAAGTCCAACAAGATGAGGATATCTAAAACGAATGCACCAATTCTGGAAAGAACAACATCCAGAATCAGAAATAACAGAACAGAGACTAGCAGATCAACGCCGATTTATAACATGAAATAAAGTATTCACAGAAACAGAATTGGACGAACTGCAAAGGTTTACCCAGGGCAAAGAAATCAAAGCCTTACCAGAAGTAATTCAGAATGTAGAGGCAAACCAGGGGGAGTTGGCAGTGAAAGAATCCAGCAGAGATATACAACTGTTCTCATTTGGAAACCAGGCACCTCTTCCTCAGGAAGAACAAAACCCTCTAACTAAAGAAATAAAAGAATTGAAACAAAGAATAACTGAGCATCTAGAACAGCACAAAAACAACAGAATAAGGCTGCCTGCATTGAAGCTTGTTCCAAAGAAACAGCTAGCACAAGCATTAAAAGATGCAAATACTGCAATAGCAAGTATAAGCACCAATTCACTGCAAGAAACAAACCAACTAATGTACAGCACAGCTGCAGTTATAACAGAATACCTGGGATGCAAAATCAACAAAAAAGAAAAACAAACAAACAGTGCACCACAAAAATGGAAGGTTAGACTAGAAAATAAGATCAGCAAGTTAAGATCACATGCAAGCAAGCTAGAACAGATGAAAGAAAAGAAGCTGAAGAACAAGAAGACCAAAGAATACCTAATCAAGAAATACCACTTAGAAACAAGGAAGATCAAGGAAGCACTGGAAATAATAAAGCAACAAATAACAGCTATAGCCAGGAAAATCAGTAGATATGAAGCTCGAATTGCAAACTATAGGCAGAACCTCCAATTTCAATCCAATCATAAACGTTTCTACCAATCCATCAATGGAGAAACTGCAAGGAATCAGTCAGTACCTGACAAGGAAGAAACAGTGCAGTTCTGGAAGCAGATATGGGATAACCCAAAGAAATACAACAAGGATGCGGCTTGGTTAAAAGAGGTGGATGCAAATAAAACAGAAGTTGAAATGAAAGAACTAGTAATAACAACAAAAATGATAGAAAAAAGAGCAAAGAAAATCAAAAATTGGTCAGCACCAGGTGAAGATGAACTACATCATTATTAATAAATATTATTATTATCGATCATCGCACAGTCAGCCAGATGTTCAGATTGGATTTGGCATTTTGTCTACCTATCGAGTCCTTACCCAGGACCTGGGATAGGCAGATGTGGATGTTTGATGGTATTACAGATATCGTCGCAGGATGGAAGCAATTCCTAATAAGGCCGCCTTTTGCAATTGACTAATAGCGAATTTGTCAATGCCAATGGTGTTCAAGTGGTGCTCCAGCTGTTTTGGGGTTGCACCAAGGAGCCTATGACTATTGGTACTGCCCTTGCTTGCTTTTGCACAGTCTTTCTATTTCTATTTGTAGGTCTTTGTATTTTGTTATCTTCTCCAGTTCTTTCTCTTCTATTCTGCTGTCTCCAGGCACTGCCACGTCCACTATCCAGACTTTTTTGTCTTTCTTATCGACAATTGTTAAGTCTGGGGTGTTATGTTGCAGGTGCTTGTCTGTTTGAATTCTGAAGTCCCAGAGCAGTTTAAGTTTATCATTTTCTATGACTTTCTCTATTTTATGATCCCACCAGTTTTTGCTTACAGGCACATGATATTTTTTGCAGATCTTCCAATGCACCATTGTTGCTACTTTGTCATGTCGCTGCTTGTAATCAGTCTGTGCAATCTTCTTGCAACAGCTTACCAAGTGGTCCACTGTTTCTTCAGCTTCTTTGCATAGTCGGCACTTACTGTCTGTTGCTGTCTTCTCAATTTTGACTTTGTATGCATTTTTCCTTAAGGCTTGGTCTTGTGCAGCCAGAATTAGTCCCTCGGTCTCTTTCTTCAATTTTCCTGCTCTTAGCCATTGCCAGGTTTTATTATTATCTGCTTTCCCAGCTATTTTTTTCATGTATTGGCCATGTAGTGCTTTGTCTTCCCATGCCTCTATTCTGTTCTTCATTTGGTCTTTCTTGTAGGCCAGTTTTGGTCTCTCCAGTAGTCAGTAAGCCTTCCTGATATATTAATTTCAGTGCATCTTCATCATTGTTCTTCAGATATTCTTCCAAAGCCATTTTTTCTTCTTCAACCATCTGATGTACTTGTAGCATTCCACGCCCACCTATTTGCCTTGGTAGATAAAGTCTATCAATGTCACTGCGTGGATGAAGGTCATGATTCATTGTCATTATTTTTCTGGTCTGCCTATCCATTGCTTTTAGTTCTGCTTGAGTCCAGTCCACTATTCCAGCTGTGTACCTAATGACTGGGATTGCCCAGGTGTTGATTGCCTTTATGGTATTTCCTCCATTGAGTTTGGATTTTAAGATCTTCTTCACTCTCTTGATGTATTCACCTCTAATCTTTTCTTGACTTCAGTGTGCTTGATGTTGTCAGCTTGAAGGATACCCAAGTATTTGTAGTACTCTTCCTCATCCAGACTCTTAATGTTATTTTCGTGGGGCATCTTGATTCCTTCAGTTTTCACTATTTTTCCTTGTTTGATAGTAAGCGTGGCACATTTGTCCAAGCCAAACTCCATTACAATATCTTGGCTATATATACGGACAGTGTTGAGCAGCGATTCTATTTCAGATGATGTTTTTTCCATACAGCTTCAGATCATCCATATAAAGGAGGTGGGATAGTCTGGCAGATGTTTTTGATGTTTGATAGCCATGTCCTGAGTTATTCAGTAGTGTTGACAGAGGAAACAGTGCAATAACAAATAGTAATGGTGATAATGAATCTCCTTGAAATATTCCTCTCTTGATATTAACCTCTCCCAGCCTCTCACCATGATCTGCAACTGTGTCTTCCATTGTGCCATCGATCTTTGCACAAATTTTCTGATGTTTCTACTTATTCCTGTTATTTCTAGGCACTTTATTATCCAATCATATGGCAGAGAGTCAAATGCCTTTTTGTAGTCAATCCATGCCACATTCAGGTTGGTCTTCCTTCTCTTGCAGTTTTCCAAGATCATTTTGTCTATTAGGAGTTGATCTTTTGTTCCTCTGCTATTGGGGCGGTTTCCTTTCTGCTCAGGTAGAAAGAGATTGTTTTCAACTAGATGCTGTTGTACTGCATCAGCTACCACACCAGTTAGTAATTTGAAAGTTGTTGGTAAGCAGGTAATTATTATTATTATTATTATTTGCCAGTAAGCAAAAACTTAGAGAAATAGAGAAAGTCATAGAAAATGATAAAATTAAACTGCTCTGGGATTTCAGAATTCAAACAGACAAGCACCTGCAACATAACACCCCAGACTTAACAATTGTTGATAAGAAAGACAAAAAAGTCTGGATAGTGGACGTGGCAGTGCCTGGAGATAGCAGAATAGAAGAGAAAGAACTGGAGAAGATAACAAAATACAAAGACCTACAAAAAGAAATAGAAAGACTGTGGCAAAAGCAAGCAAGGGTAGTACCAATAGTCATAGGCTCCTTGGGTGCAATCCCAAAACAACTGGAGCACCACTTGAACACCATTGGCATTGACAAATTCGCTATTAGTCAATTGCAAAAGGCGGCCTTACTCGGAACTGCTTCCATCCTGCGACGATATCTGTAATACCATCAAACATCCACATTTGCCTATCCCAGGTCCTGGGTAAGGACTCGATAGGTAGACAAAATGCCAAATCCAGTCTGAACATCTGGCTGACTGTGCGATGATCAATAATAATAATAATAATAATAATAATAATAATAATAATAATAATGTTGAAAGGGACCTTGGAGGTCATCTAGTCCAACCCCCTGCTCAGGCAGGAAACCCTATACCATTTTGGACAAATGGCTATCCAGTTTCTTCTTAAAAACTTCCAGTGTTGGCGCATTCACCGCTTCTGGAGGCAGGTTGTTCCACTGGTTAATTGTTCTAACTGTCAGGAAGTTTCTCCTTAGTTCTATGTTGCTTCTCTCTTTGGTTAGTTTCCACCCGTTGCTTCTTGTCCTGCCTTCAGGTGCTTTGGAAAATAGCTTGACTCCCTCTTCTTTGTGGCAGCCCCTGAGATATTGGAACACTGCTATCATGTCCCCCCTCGTCCTTCTCTTCTTTAAACTAGACATACCCAATTCCAGCAACCGTTCCTTGTATGTTTTAGCCTCCAGTCCCCTAATCATCTTTGTTGCTCTTCTCTGTACTCTTCCTAGAGTCTCAACATCTTTTTTTACATCGTGGTGACCAAAATTTATAACTAGAGTATAACCACTACAATTTAATTGTCTAATTCCATAATTTACAATACAGTGTCAAATTTCTTAAATTTTCTAACAAGTGTACTCCTATTCCCAGAATTCCTAGCATATGTTGGGAAATTTTAGGATCTGAAATGTCTGCTTCAGAGCAATATTTATAGACCTATATTCCATGTTAGATAACTCATAGTTTCATTCTGTATATTTGTCTGTCATTAGGACATGATTATTGACATTTCATCAAGCAAAGCAGAAAACTCTGAAATGTTTGGCTTTTTGCTCCATACTCTCTATAAATTTTCGAAAAGTAGTGAAATGGAAGACCATTTCTACAGAACAACAAGAAATGTATTCTTTTCCTAGATGATGTGAAGACCATTGTATCTATATTATGGGAGCAAGACCTCCTAACTACTAAAGATATTTAAAGAAGAGATATATCATCTGCATCCAAGATAATCATAATGATTCTATTAGGTGACAAGAGTGGGTACATTCTGGCCTTGACAGGGTTTGCCCCCATACATTTAAAAAGAAGTTGAAAAAAATGGGGGGCAATACATACACTTCAATTCATTCTATGTGGTTATAGCTACAATACTGGAAGAATGAAAACAAGGGATTCTAAAACTATATCAAAATTATTAAATTTATTCTTACACTACTTCATGATAGTAGACATTTTTAATAATATATTTCCATAGATCAGTGGTTCTCAACCTTTTTAATGCCGCGACCCCCAACCGGTTGTAAGTCGAGGACTACTCAACCGGTCATAAGTCGAGGACTACTCAACTGGTGCAGCACCGTTTGCAGAATGGGACTTTTGGCGGGCTCAGCAGGGCAGTGACAGCCTGGACAATTCCTATTGGCTTTTGAAAGCCAATAGAATTAGACTATTCAAGAGAGTCTATTCTATTGGCTTTCAAAAGCCAATAGAATAAAAGGGAGTAGCACAGCTAAGGAAAAGGGGAAAAAATGGCGGACTGCGTTGTTTGGCGATCCCCGTGAAATGGTCGTTCGACCCCAAACGGGGTCCTGACCCACAGGTTGAGAACTACTGCCATAGATTGAAGTATACCATTTATTCCACCTTGTTCCACTACTAAGATATTGTTTTGCATCAAGCAGTCAGCAGTTTTAGACTTAGCTTCACAGAGACTTTGTTTAAATGAGCAAAAGTTAGTATTTTGTTTTTGGGAGTCACCAGACTGGGAACGCTAATGATTTTAAACCAAACAGGTAGTATTTGAATTATGCAATTGATTTGTATGTTAGTCTGCAAAACTCAATCTTTCACAGCAGCTTCCCTATTTTTAATAGAGATAAAAATTTGCTGTTCTCAGATAAAATCACAAAATCCCATTTCTGTGTATCTTGGGGACATAGTAATACAATTGATGCCACCAAAATGGGCTTGAAAATGCTCAGGTCATGCTTTGAATGAGATGTATCGTGAAAAATCTGTTGATCCAGAAGGAATTCTTAGGAAAGGCAGATGAGACAAAGCACTAAATTACTGAGGACTATTTATCTGTGGTAATCTGGTCAAATTTTTCCAATTTGTCATTTATAAAGTTTTTTCTTTTCAGAAGGAGTCTATGTAATTTTTTTCTTTCAATAACAATTCTACATGAATAAGAATAGGGTAACCTTGTAGGTTTCTGATAATTTCAACCTGGCTATGGCTCATTTGTGGTCAAATCAGAAATTATTATTGTTCTTAGGTGTTCAACGTATAATTGTATTCTACTCTTCTTTCATCAATTATTTGAGACGACAAACATGCATAAAAGTAAAGGTGGTGCTCATCTCTGTTTCTTAATCTAGAGAGTCAGCATTGTCTGAAGACATTTCCATGGTCATGTAGCCAACATGACTATATGCCAAGGTGCATGGAATGCTGTTACCTTACCACCAAAGTGGTACACATTTGCAGGCTTTTGATCTGCTAGATGGGCAGGAGCTAGGGTAGATAATGGGAGCTCACCCTGTTATGCAGTACTCAGCTCTGGAACCTGGGCTATCAATTTTCCAGCTGACAAGCTCAGTGACTTTAACTGCTGAACCACTGCACCACTGATAAAGGAATATGTAAAATTCTAACAATGCTTATTGACATTACCTTACCTGTGTTAAAAGAACAAACTGAGCAAACTGCCATGGAAGCATGAAAAGAACATTAGAAACAGATAGTGCAATCAAGCTTCTTCTATTAACATTCTGCGTCCTTGGGGAAAAGAATAAGAGACGGATTAAGATGAACAATAATGGCTCTTTTTACATCTCCAAATAACAATAGTGAATCAATTTCTTTTCAACAGAATTGAACTCTGGTCAAGCTTCAAAATAATGTATAGAAAAATTCATAAAATAGATATCTAATACCATAAAATTAAACAAAAAAAGAACCTTCCATACACAAACCCTTAATTTATGTGTATTATAATTAATAATAATTACATAATAATTGGATAAAAATGCCAAATCCAGTCTAAACATCTGGCTGACTTTGCAACAAACTATATTCATTATAAAAATTTTGGGTCGACACAAATTTGTTTTAAAATCCTGTAACTTTTCAAAATATGTTTCTTTTAATATTAGTTAATTCGTATTAGATTTAGATGTACAAGGATCATCCTAATCATTCCTCATTAAAGAGAAATGATAATAGTTTTTAAGAAAGACATATAGAAAACTTGGTATTTAGCCATATGTAAACTTCCCTCTTCTCCCAGTAAAAAGAATAAGTTTTCTATGGACAAATTGTAAATGAGGTTTCTAGTCTTTCCCAATCTGGCAGCCCTCCAAAATTTTGAATTATGTCTCTCATTCTGTCATCTTTGTTTGAGGATGATGGAAGAATACTATATTGGAGAGACTATAAAAGACAACACATAATAATGAAGGTGCAGCTAAATATGAATTCAGAGCATCTTTCTGCTTTTGTATCAATACCATTACATCTATGTACCATGAATTAAAACAAATTCTTTACATAGCAGTAATACCATTTTATAACTTATGAATACATGCATCAATATCTTGTTTGATATTTAAGAATGGAAAAGAATGGAAATTACCTGAGAATGTATGTTAATAATAGCATCTGAACCACAAGGAAAGGATAAGAAAAGCTTTCACGGAGAGGAGGAGTCCACATCACACGAGTACTCTGGAAATAAGAATGCAGATAATTGGTTATGTATTCTAATATTCTTTTCTTTCATTAATATCTGGAAAATATATTTTTCTGGGTTTTGAACTGTAGTGTTAGAATTTTTTCTTTAAAAAAATAAGCCTCCAAAAATTGTACATAATGTAAGAAAATTTGTCCGTATTATAAGAAAAATCTACTGCAATTTTACTTTACAGGTAAATATTGTAGCTATTTTTCTTCCTGGAATTTTTCTTCTATTTTTCCAATAAACTGAACTAGTCCCTATTCTGAACTGAGAACATGATGTTAAAAGAAAAATAAGATTAACTATAGCTAATAAAGGCCATGGCAATTAACATTATAAGTGTACTGATATTAAACAGATCAGATTTGAAATACAACAATAGTATAAATTAGAATCCCAGATTCAGTGCTGTACATAATTTGATGTAAGTAATCAGATTTGCAGATTTCTTTACCAGTAAATGGCATTTTAAAAGTTTTTCAGTTATATTCCTAATTATGTAGCCAATTTAATCTACTGACATTTACCAAACAAATATTTCTACAAATATTACCAACTAGTGTTGAGTAGATTCAGGAATAATGTGAAATATTGGCATGACCAATAAGCAACATACTAAATAAAAATATAAATCTATTTTAATTAGTGATAGCTCCTTTTAAGCTTCACTGGCTAATGATAATGGAAGAATCAGATATGAATTTTGGGAATAATTCAGCAAAATTCTTTTGAGGAAAATATTCTTTTATGTGACAAAATTGGAAGGGGAAAAACAAGAGAATAAAAGTGACTGGGCCACTCAAGCATGCTTTGGCTTATTCAAAGCATGAGTAAGATTGGTGTCAATCCTGCGAGTATCTGTTTTGGAAAACCTGTTTGTTTCAAATAACTGATATATGCAAAAGTCACTCATGAATACTTCTGGGAAAAGAATGCATGCAAATCTAAAACAATAATTTAATAGATTGTTTAAAATGAAAAGAAAGAAAATTAGTAAAAGATTTAAAGATGAAAAGTGTCTTGAATATGGGCAGAATATTGTTAAAATGTCAATAGTTAATCTTTAGGAAAGAATATAGTAATCCTCTACTTATGATCACAACTGATCCCAAAATTTTTGTTGCTAAGCAAGACAGTTGTTGTGAGTTTTGCCCCATTTTACTTTCTTGCCATAGGTGTTAAGTGAATCACTGCAGGTGTTAAATTAGGAACATGGTTGTTAGATGAATCAGGCTTCCCATTGACTTTGCTTGTCAGTGTCCCATAAATGTAATCACACTGCATAAATACATGCCAGTTGCCAAGCATCCAAATTTTGATCACATGACCATGGGGATGCCACAAAGGTCATTAATGTGAAAAACAATCATAAATTACTTTTTTCAGTACCGCTGTTACTCCGAACAATCATTAAATGGATGGTTATAAGTCGAGGACTATTTGTAGATATGAAAGAAAAGGAAAGAAGCGAAAAAAACTAGAGTGTAAGTAGAACTCATGTTTTTCCAGACAAGCTAGAATAGAATAAACAAGCAAACAATGGTACAAAAAAAACTTTTCATGAATTTTAGAAAAACTTAAGAGGTTATCATGAAAGTATCTCAACAACTAATCTATATGTATGTGTATGTGAATGACTATATGTTATCTTATCTATCCATCCATCCATCCATCCATCCATCCATCCATCCATCCATCCAAGTAAGAGTTCTATTTGCACGACAATCAATATTCAGATTCTTGGTTCTCCGCAGCCTATCTAGTCTACATAAATTTAGGATTAGAAACATATATTTTTTTTGTGAGGGGTGAGGGATAATTCTTTTTCCTTGTTTTGATAAAAGGCCAAATCTAGCATTAGGCTATCTACTTTTGAACATGAGAGAATTAGCTTCAGCAACTTGCAGGAAGAAAAACTATATATATTATGCCAGAAATGTTAGAAAATGGTTAACTCTCATAACATAATTAATGGAAATATGATGGCAAGGGAAGCTGTTCTTACAGAGTAAGAAATTATGTTACTGAATATCTCCAAAATCTATATAATTACGCTAAATATATTTATGAAAAAAGATGCTTGGTAGAATGATGAAGTGAATGAGGCTGTAGAAGAAAAAAGTGTAAACAATGGGATTATTGCTACAAAAATAGGCTGATGAAAATGAGAATAGAGAAAGAAGAAATAATTTAAAACAAAGTAGTTAGAGGCACAGAAAATGTAGAGTCATCTTGTTGAAAATAAAATATTTTAGAAATTAGTGAAAAGGTCTAAATCAGGGGTGTCAAACTCGCAACATTATGTGACATGTTGCGACGTATTGCGACCTTTTCATTGCTGGCAATGGGGTGGGTGCGTTTGAAACCCCTGGTCTAAATAAAGAGCCATGAGAAAGAATGGAATTAAAGATAAGAGTGATGAAATACAGGTAGTCCATGCTGAATGACTGGTCACTTAGTGACTGTTAAAGGTTATAACAGCCCCCGCCAAAAAAACGCTATTTAAAATTTACAACTCCATTTCAAAGTTATGACACTGCAGCATCCCCATGGTCAATTGTAAGGATGCTGCAGCGGCTCCACCTCTCTCTCATCCATTCCACTCTGCCAGATTGCCGCAGGCCTTGGGCCTACTCCTGATGCACTCATCATCTACTACACACTTACCCTGTGAAGAATTCCAGAGCTTACGTTGCAGAAGAATAGGATACGATAGGATAACTTTATTGTCACTTTGAATGTACACTAATTGGCTGAACCATATGGCTCCTCCTTGAAGTAGCCATCAATTTCAGCTTGCACACAATGCCTTGTGCTCACAATGAAGTAGTGGCTATTTCAGGGAGGCAGTCATAAAGTTCAGAGATTAACCACTTCATTTTGCTTCCCTAATGCAGTTTGGATAGTGCTACAAAAAACTCCAGAGTTTTCTGTAGCACAACGCAAACCACAATAGGGAAGTGGTTTTCCCTGGGTCATGTAGTGCTTCCTAAAACTGGCTGCCATTTTCAGCATGCCCATAATTCCATATAATTCTACTAAAATAGTGTCCACAAGGCTGCAGAACTCCTACTCAAGGAGCAGATGGCAGTTATGGCCAGGAAAGTCTCTGAGCAACTATGGGTTATGACTGTGGGTAATAAATCTGTTTGGGTTTTTGAAAGATATTAAGAATGATAAATTCATGATTTAAAAACTGGATACTAAAGGGGATTAAAGATTTTAGATAGAGGAAAACAGAAAGATTATAAAATGCAAAATGTAATAATGAAAATACTGAACAAGACTTCGAAGAAAGGTGTAAAAATTAGTAGCTACAATATCAATAATGATGTCTAGTTCTATGGATACAGTATATTAAATCAAAAAGATGTTACTGAAGAAATAACAAGTATACAACAAATTTTATCTTACAGGATAGAGATGCTGTTGTAAAAGGATTAACAAGAGCAAGGCTAAGAGAATGATTTAAAAAAGGATGTTTCACTGGATCAATAAAAGCAACTGACTGATTTTTTAAAACTTAGAAAGAATATGCAGACGATAAACCAAAAGAATGATTTTGACAATATTTTTATTAGATTTACAAAAGCAGCTTGTTAAAGACTTAAAGAGCTCTGTGTGATGGAACAAAGAAGAAATAAAGAAAATCAAATCCATATTGAATGAACTAAAGCTTAAGATTGTTAGAAGTAAAAACAAAGAATGTAAAGTTTGTTTGATCAAGGTTAAAACAAGTTACAGTGGTACCTTGGTAATCAACTGTTTTGAAACACACTGAATTTGGTATTTAATGCATTTTGATGAGAAAACTTTGCCCAATACTCGTTGTTTGGTGCTTGATACACAAACTAGAACTTCTCAGTGTCTGGGGTTTTTTTTCTCATTAGTCTGGGTAAAGTGGGCTAAATGCAAAATAGACTAACCAATTATCAGAACGATATTGAGATTTTTTGATTATACAAGAAATGAATGAAACTCAAACTGCAAAACAAAAACAAATAACAGCTGACTCTTCACTTAGCCAGCATTTGAAGTTAAAACCTACCTGAAAAAGGGTACATGATCTGGATCCATAGTTATGATAGTCACAACCCAAGCCTATGGTCAGCATCATTTGCAGCATTCTGTGGTTATGTGACCTCATTTAATGACAGTTTTGTCAAAACCCCTGTTATTTCCAGTTTTCATCAAAATTGCACCCAGAGCAAACTAATTTCCAAATAAATATGAATAGAATTATTTTACAGATAAGAAGCATAGCACGCAGAGCTCTGCAGGGCTTCAGATTTTATTTGTCTTTTAGGAAATGCAAGAACATGATTGTGTGATTTAAAGCACACTGTTTAAAGCAGCAAAATGTACATATGATTTAGAGTTCCAGCCAAACGCTACATTGGTGTTCTGCATACTCCAAAGCATCTTTCTGGAATAGATTCAAATTCGTTTGATCAAATCAGAAAATATGAATATCTTAATTTATTTCCAACACTACATCCTTCAAAAGTTAATTTAACTATAAAGTATTTACATTTTAAATGTTAATTCAATTTTTAAAGTAACTAGTAATTTGCAGACGTACCTCCCCATGGTTGAAAAAGTAGCATGCCACTGTAAGTAACCCTCCAAACCTGTTCCCACTGTGAAAGAAGAGAAGGGGGGGGGGAATGTAATAATTTTTTTTTTCAGACAAGTTTCAGTGACAAAATAAAAATACTTTCATTTTGTGAATAGTAATATGCTTTAAAATGTCAAATAGGTAAACAAATTAAGCAGTGTCGTGACCCCCCTCACAATGTTTTTAAGAGCTGGACGTGGAGCAACCAGCTAAAACTAAATCTAAGCAAGAAAGAATAGCTCTGAGTTTGTGATTCCTTGATTCATAGTGAATTGCCACCTTTGGTTTTGGATGGGGTGACACTATCTCAAAGAGATCCAGTGCATAATCTGGGGATTCTCCTGGATTCACAGCTCCTGCTCAAGGACCAAGTGGCAGTTATGGTCAGGAGAGCCCCTGTGCAACTGTGAGTTGTTTGCCAGTTATGCCCTTTCCTGGACCAACAATCCCTGCTTGGTCTTTCACGCCCTAGTCATCTCCTGTCTTGACTATTTCAACACACTGCCTACATAGGGCTGCCCTTGAAAAGCATCTGTAAACTCCTATTGATTTGAAATGCAGCAGTCAAATGATTTTATGCAGACCCAGGTATGCACCTCTCCTGCGGGAGCTGCATTGGCTACTGATTTGCTTCCAGTGCAATTCAAGGTTCTGGTTGTCAGTTACAGCCACCCGATGTACTAGATGAGGAGGCATGGAATGTTGTGATTCCTGTCTCCTAAAGAGGTACATCTGGCAGGACCCAGAAGGAGGGCCTTTTCTGTGGTGACTCTCTATCTTTGGAACATTATCCCTGCAGAGATTAGACTGGCTCTCACTCTAGCACTTTTTCGCAAGTCCCTGGTTCTGCCAACCAACTCGGGAAACCCAGAGCGGGATGAAGCCCATCAAGTGGCTCATTTGATTGCCTGCTATCACCAGTGGGGTAGGGGGTTATTGTTTTTATTCTTTTTATATTGGGTTTTTATTGTTTGTAAGTTGCCCAGAGTGACTGAAAGTTAGTGGGCAGCCATATAAACAGTGGTGGGATTCAGATGGTTCACATCAATTCAGCAGAACCAATACCTAATTTTTTGTTGAGTTCAGCAAAGAAGTTATGATAAATTTGTGTTTTCTAGAATATGTCTGATTTTTGTTACACTTCCTTCCTGGCTGGGGGGGGGAACCTCCCCAAAAGTTCAAGAGAGGAGCGATGGAAACCAAATGGAGATGCAGTGCCTTTGATCACATCGCCTGTTCGCCTCTTCTCTTTCACTCCCCTCCAGAACCAGATTGCTATGCTATGGAGGATGGGCCTTACCCAGTCCCCCTCCACCGTTTTGGAGCCAGGAGAGAGCGACGCCGAAAGGCTCTGCCACTGCTACACAACAGCTGTGTCTGCCACTGGAGGGGCTTTCTTCGGTCCCCGCCTCCTTCTCCTCCACCAACTCTCCCATAGCTTGGCCGTGACCGGGGGGGGGGGCACAAGTCTCTCCTGCCACTTCCCTCTGCCAGTCCTGGTAACCCTCCACCAGCCCTCCATCATCACCACCACTTTCTTGTCACCCTGCATCAGCTCACATCTCCCTTTTCTGTTCTGGAAATGGCAGCCCCATTTTCTACCACTTTCCTCCCGGGAGAAGGGAAGAAAGGAAGGATGCTTTGTATGGAAGGATGCTACGGTAAGCTCCAGGAAAACTATCCCAGCTGGAGGTGGGCAAGGAAGGCCAGGCTCCCCTTCCCTGATGGTTGTACAAAGTCATTGAGGAGCGGATTCTCAAGGGCTTTGCACAACCATTGGGGAAAGGGAGTCTGGCCTTTACCAGCTAGAGCTGCATGGAGGAAGGAAGGAAGGAAGGAAGGAAGGAAGGAAGGAAGGAAGGAAGGAAGGAAGGAAGGAAGGAAGGAAGGAAGGAGCCTTAAGGATACCCGGGAGGCAAAGGAAGTTACCATAAGACGTCTTTCTCACTTTCTCCCTTTCCTGGCTGGGCTGGAGGCAGCCCACACAGGGTGCTGCTTTGTGCAAGCAGATGCGACCCTGGCAACTAAGCTCCTCAGGGTCACTTGAAAAGTTTTGTTCCTGAGTACTGATGGTGGGTGAAACTGACCATGCTGCAGCAGCTTTCCACCTCTGCCTCTTCCTTGGGCAGCTTACTCTGCCCCCCACCTTTACTTTTAGCATTCAGGGAAGCCCATGCCTTTACCTTTTCTTAAGTTGCTTTTCAGGCAGAGAACTGGTTGTTAAATTATTTGAATTCCACCACTGCATATAAATCCAATGAACAAACAAGTATTCAGAATATGCACGGATTCTAATCAGATTATGAGGTAGAAAAGATGTTCCAGGAAAGACAGATTCTGGTTTCAGTACCTGCTAGTACCTTCTTTAAGAAGATGCATTTTCTCCTGGATTCAAAAGTAGTCTTGTGCTCCCAGGGAAAAAACATGTTTGAGTTATGGAGGTACCCGATGGATTTGATATACCCTGTTATTGCCTCCTAATTCAAACATGTATTTCCCAGGCTACCATGTGAACTCATGAAAAGATGCAGTTTATTACAGGTAGAAGAAATATTCAAACAACTGAAAATTCTATAGCTTGTAAATTATAGTCCGCAACTCACAATCACAATTAAGACCAGAATTTCCAGACCTAATTTTATAGTGGCTGTTAGGCAAATCATGCAGTACCACTTGCATGTCTCCCTGGCCTCTCACACACCGTGCCAGGCAGTTGCCACCCCAAGCACTGCTGTACTTGCATCTTATCTTCCTGGTCCTCTACACACCCCTCTACTACTTAGTAGCTGCAGTCATTTATATGTCTGCCAGCCTGCTTCCAAGTCACCTAAAACATACAAATTCCTACTGACTTCCCCATCGATTTTGGTTGTTGGAAGCCAGCAGGACATTGTGAGTCTTTGCTTAACAACTTTTGAACCTCATTTAACAATGTAAATGGTGACTACAGAAATTGCTGTTGCTAAGTGAGGTTGTCACATAACATTCCAGTTTACAATTTCATCACTTAATGATAGATATTTTAGTCCCAATTATAATCATTAACTAAGGTCTAACTGTACCTTTACATGTCAATAAAACAGGAATATTCTGCAAAGCATACCACAGTATTATTATCTGCTTATAAAACTTTAATGACTTTACAAATCTGGAACACTAATTTATAAAATGGAACTAAGAGAAATGAAGGGAAGTTTCCATCTCTGTACAGTATGCACAATATTTCTGTAGAATACATTTATTTCTACATATTGCACTAACTGAACTTATTTTTAATGCATGATTTAAAGAATTACATCTTTATTTAAAGCAGTGGTTCTCAACCTTTCTAATGCCGCGATCCCATAATACAGTTCCCCATGTTGTGGTGACCCCCCAGCCACTTATATATCACCGGGTGCCAGGGGCCTGGCCAAAGAAAAGGGGGAAAAAGTGGCGGACAGCCTTGTTTGGCGACCCCTGTGAAATGGTCGTTCGACCCCAAATGGGGTCCCGACCCACAGGTTGAGAACCACTGATTTAAAGACTGAATTATTTTTTCTCATGTATATAATGGTGAGACCTGAGATCACATGCTGAATCTGAATCCAGGAAGATTCAAGATTATAAAAAAGAAAAACTTTTTGCACAGTTTACAATTTGTTGCAAGCAAGTGTTGGCTACTATATGAGAGAGAATACTAGAGAACATGGACTTATAACTTATTCAGCAAGGCTTTCTTATATTATTAAACTAAACTGAAAATAGAACTATCATTCTTCATTTCTTATTTTTTCATGCACTCACACAATGTGTACTGATATCATTCTGCATTTTGAAGTAGTACCTGTTGCCTCATATACAATAGCATCTAAAAGCTGCAAGAGATCTGATATGATCACTTCTGAGAGGATAGAAGTAAATGATGGCAGTTCCCAATAGTACAGATCTATCTGTTTTTCTGTCTATCATATTTCTACATTATCCATCACACTTGTATGACTCTGGGCAGTTTACAGATAAAATCTTATAAAATCATAGTTAAAAATTTAACAAAATTAAAACAATTAAAAAGAAAAATTGCAAAGTTAAAAGGCAGAGGGAATACTTTCAACCCACCAGCCATCCCAAGAGTTGGAAGAGCCAAGTCTTGATGTTCTTCCAAAAAACTGGGACAATAACCTGGCTTGTATAGAGTGGGAGCAGAGTTAAAAGAGCAATCAGTTTAAAATATCTACATTCAGTTTAAAATATCTACATAGTCACAAGCTGACTAAGTCCAACTTCTCTTGAATTCTGTTGATCCTTATTTAACTTTTAGCAGGTGCTAACCACTAGTTGAGAATATGCCTGTGCAAAGACATGAGTAGCACTACATCAGTTTAATTAGACCTTCATGTGTGGACCTGATCTTTCGTACCTGAGTTTGTTTCTAAGGGCAAAATGTTCCATAGAGAAGGCTCTCTTCCTAGACTCTATCAGTCATAATTCTTTAACTAATGTGGTCTGTAACACACTCTCCCTGTCTGACAGGTGGGACAGATCAATAAACAGGACCAGACAACTTCTCAGATAGCCTGATCCCATGCCATAAAAGGCTTTAAAGGAGATAACCAACACTTTAAATTGCATCCACAATTTACATAGCAGATATGTTATATATGTAACCCTAGAGCCAAAGCTGCTTTGCACCAGCTGAAGTTCTGGAAAATCTTCAAGACTAGCCTCATGTAGTATGCACTGCAGTAGTCAATATGAGAGATGACCAGGGCACAAAAGACGGAATTTATCCAAGAAAGAATATAATTGGCGTACAACATGAAGCTGAGCAAAGACTCTGCTAGCCCACGACTGCCAGCTGCTCCTTCAGCAGGAATCCTGAATCCAAGAAGATATTCAGATTAAATACCAAATCCATTTGAAGCAGTGCAACCCCATCAAGAACCAAAGATAGTAGATCTCCCAATACAGTAAAGACCCTCATCCACAAGTCACTTCATGTTACCAAGGTTCCATTGAAGTATGTTGTTCCCTATCTAGACACCCACGTCTTTAAATATGTACAGACAGTCCTTGACTTATGATTGTTTAGTTGTTTAGACTTACGACCACAATTGAGCCCAACATTTAAGTGAAACATTTGTTAAGTGAGTTTTTTGCCATTTTATGACTTTTCTTGCCACAGTTAAGTGAATCATTGAAATTGTTAAGTTAATAACATGGTAGTTGTGAATCTGGCTTCCCCATTGATTTTGCTTGCCAGAAGGTCATGGAAGGGGATCACATGACACTGCACTGTCATAAATATGAGTCAGTTGCCAACCATCTGAATTTTGATCACGTGACCTTGGGGATGCTACAATGGTCATAAGTTTGAACAATGGTCATAAATCATTTTTTCAATCCCGTTGTAACTTTGAACAGTCACTAAATGAACCGTTGTTAAGTTAAAGATTACCTGTATTTACACACCTGATTCAAACTTCCAACAGTCACTCTCCTGCATGTGATTGTCAATAAATTATCAATGAATTACCAAGCCCTTTGCAACCACATAATTGTTATTTGGAATCTTCCCTAATGGGGAAGTCAACAGAGATGCTAGCGGGGAATATCACAGTCACTGCCACAGGATTCCCTATGGTTCCTCATAGCTGGCTGAAAAAGATCCACTGGGACTCATTTTGGGATGGATCTTTTTCAGTAGCCTCTTTGAGAGGAGGAGGGCTGCCTATGAGATTTTCTCTGCAAAATTGCCCTTCTGCTATCATAAACACTGGTTGGAAAAGTCCATAGCAAAAGCCATGATGTATTTTAGCCCAGGGCTGTTGTAGCATGGAACAACTGTAACCAAGCTAAATCCAAATGCCCCATGCTGGGTTAAAATCCCACTTAGCTTTTGCCATGGACTATCCAGCCAGTATCTCTGATAGTGAAGAGCCAGACTCGGCATGCTTGGTCAGAAGCAGGAGTAAGAAAATGCTCAAGATCAGCAGGGAAAGCAGAATGCAAGGTGGCAACGGCAAGTGGGATAGCTGGAATTGGGTTGGGAGGCTGTTGCTTCAAAAGGTGGGTGGCAGCAGGGTGGCCAAAAATCAGATACTGGAGGAAGAAAGGTAGGGGAGGATGAGTTGGAGACAGCCTTCCCTTACTGAGGCTCAAAGCTGGGAGGGACCAAGTCCAGAATGGCTTGGATTCGAGTGGCTACTGACTTAACAATCTGCTATTCTTAATAATCGCAACTAGGAATGCTGAGATTGTGGTCATTAAGCAAATCAGTTACTTGGGCATCTCACAATAAATATCTATGAAGATTCTCAATCATCCAGGTCATAATTCTAAAGAACTGAAGAAGCTTCTTGGATTAGAAGCAAAACATTTTCAAAGAAAAAACAAGTTGCCTTTTGGAAAACACCTTTGGGTTGCTTAATGAATGCTTCATTTAACAGCTGAGAATCTGCACAGATTTGAAATATTTTTACACATATACTTAGAAGATTGTGTTACCATTTACCACCTCCACCCAGAAAAAAAATACTTAGATGTATTTTTCTGCATTAGAGCACAATGAAAAGTGTCATTAAATACATTATAAGAAATAGTATACAGTCGGCATTTAGAATTATGAATCATTTTTAAGAAAAGGATAGATATTTGGATTTTCTTTCTATAGTGTTAAATTTTAGCTTCACTTAGCGCAACCATTTGACCTATAATTCAGAAGCAAAATGAATTTATGACTCTAGAAACCTAAACATTTTTCATTATTGATTCTAATGCTTATCTTTGATAAAAAAACATGTCCTCACGGTAATTTTATCCTGACTACCTCTGTGACTTTAGACATATATAAACTTTAACATAGTATAAATATCAATCTACCGGTTATTTAGCACATTTTAAAACACATAGAAAATACAATTATCTATAAAATATAAGGCATATTCTATTAAATTTTATGCAAATAAAACTAAATATACCCTTAACTTAGAATTGTGAGCCCAGAATTACAGTTGTAAGTTGTTGCGATTGTAAGTTGAGGCACTATGTGACTGGACCTAAATTTTTACATTTTTATAGTGATTGTTAAGCAAACATTATGGTCATTAAGTGAACGCAGTGGTCATTAAATGAATAATTTTTTCCCACTAAGCATTTTTATTGGAAAACAGAAGTAAAACCCAGAAACCTGTAAAACAGTGGCAAAATCAGTCATATGACTTCGGAACATTGCAAATGACCATAAAACTGAACCAGGTGCCGAGCGCCGATAATGAGATAATGTGACTGCAGAAGAGGGACAATCATCATAATTTCAAAAATGGATCATAAGTAGCTTTTTGAGGGAGGATCCGTCATAATTTCAAACAGTCATTAGGTGACCTGTCGCATGTTGAGGACTATCTATATATTACATTACAATTTAATCTAAATTAAAACATTTTACTGTTGTACTTTCAAGCTTTAAACATTATATTTCAACCCAAAATAGATTGCTCAGTTAGAATAGAATAAAATGACAGAGTTAGAAGAGACCCTGGAGATCTTCTAGTCCAACCCCTGCTTAGGCAGTAAACCATATACCATTTCAGACACATAGTTGTCCAACCTTTTCTTAATCTCAGGAAGCCTCATCAGTATAGTGCAAAGCTTCTGAATTCCAGCCCCAATAGAGTGACACAAAACTACAGAGCCCTAGGAAACCTCAGTGATCCCAGTCCCAATTTCAGTTGCATTTGCCCTTGTCACCCTGTGGCTCCGGTTGTCCTATACTCCACCAACCCAACAGTTTTTCACCATCTTCTTGCTCCCACTGTTGATGAAGTATACTCACCCTTTACAAGGCAGCTGCTAAGCATGTGAGGCCCTATTCCCCAGGTCTCACAAGGAAACTGCCTTGCCAACATTGGGAAGAAAGCCTCATTAGTCAGCTTCTGTCTTACAAAGGACCAAGCTGGGTATGCTTGATCAGTAGTGGATGTAAGACAATGAAAATCAGCTAGGGCATCAGAAACAATGGAGGCTAGGGGGTCAAAAGGGCCTAGAAACAGAAATAGTTCGGAGTTGCAGACAAATATGCAGATGGGTCACCAAATGCCTGAGTTCTGATCATGTGACCATGGGGCCACTGCAACCATCCTAACTTTGGGACCAACTCTAAGTCCCTTCGTTAACAACACTGTTAACTCTGATGCTCTAACGTTGTAAGTCAAGGGCTGTATTGCTGTATGTAAAACTGCTTTTATATATTTATTAAATACTAAGCAGTAAAAATGCACTCTGGCGTAAATAAAAACATGTATTTTTAACCTGATTAAAAAAAGGACAGAAATTTGGGTAAAAATCTTAGAGCTTAATTATACTGACATTTAATGAAATAATTATGATGAAAAGAATAGTAATGTGAAAAGTCTGAGTCAAACCAAATAATAAAAAGTAAAAAGCTAGTAAGCAAATATTATTGTATCATGTTAAAAAGTATAAACATTTTGCTCTTTTACTAATTTTTTAGTTACATGGAGAACTATCATTCTACTGTAGAAAGTATCTGCCACTGAATGAAATCTTCCTCTCACTTTCACCTGTATTGTACAACTATATTCTGGGAAGTTGGCAACATTCTGCAGAAAAAAATTGTAATATATGTCACTTATGTGTGATGAGAAAAAACAAAGAGGTCACGCTACATCAGCAGAAATGCATGCCGATCATTGTACAGCCCTAACCTCACAACCACAGTCTCCTATGTAATAGCCAACTTTAACAAGACAAAAGTATGCCTTTATGGGTGGAAGGAGCAAGGACTGTGGGGATAGGCATAAAAGCAAATAACTCTGAAGACAGAAAAATATAGCTGAAGGAAGATATTACAATAAGCATGTCAAGGGCCAGAGTGTAAATTCTACCGCCTAGTTTTCTTATTCATTTTTCTGAATGGCTCTAGATCAGTGTTTCTCAATCTTGACAATTTTAAGGCATGTGGACTTCAACTCCCAGAATTCCACAGCCAGCAATGCTGGCTGTGGAATTCTGGGAGTTGAAGTCCACATACCTTAAAATTGTCAAGGTTGAGAAACACTGATCTAGATCATGTCTCTCACTAACTGGAATTGGTATTATACATTTTCTTCTCATTGTAATCATTGGAAGTAAAAAGACAGATATAAAAAATGTTAAAAACAAGTATTCTGCCTTAGCCTATCAGCTGGAGATTCCTGGATGAATCAATATGTATGTGAAAACATACTTCGTAGCCCCATAATTCTCTGACATCAAACTGTCCCGCACAAATTAAATTGAAGAACTGTGGCATTCTGAAATAATGTAAAGTTTTTACATTTAATGCATATTTAACAAAATGCAGAATAATTATAATTATCCACTTAGCAAACAAATCTTTTTTTTATGTTATCTTACCTTAGATACGTGCCATATAGGAAGAAAATTGACACCATCAATCCATTTAGAAGAAATATCATAGCCACATAAAAAGAAGCAGGATCTCCTAATCCTATCAAATAGCAATTCACATGCAGATAAATACTTTATGTTTTGATTTTTAATTGTTCAATTGTGCAAAAATTCTGCATATATTAATATATTATATAACTAAATTCTGTTTGTGCTTAAGTTTGCATTATTTAACTTATCTATTTAATAAGCTTCAAGGCAACTTCATGAAACAACTTAACAAAGGTGTGAAGTGAAAAATGTGCATTGTTCCATGCACAAAACATGTACAGCTTGTGGACTCCATCAAATCTGAGTGCATTATGATCTCACCACACCAAAATCTTGAGCCTCTTAGTTTTCTAGATTTTAGTCAGATGAGTTGTAGACTGTATTCATTGAGTAGAAGACTATTTTTTGTTGTCTCTTTCTTTCCACTTCTATTTTGTCCCATGTGCCCACCCACTATTGATTATTGCAGTGCCTTCCTTATCCTTCCTTTTGTTTTGGTCATTATGTTTAAATTAAAATGTAGCCTACTCATCCTTTATTACAATTGTGTTAGTGTCTTTCTTCTGCCAATGCATTTTCCCCAGCATTTCTCTTATCTTGGAACAGCTTTCTTATATATGAAAGTATTCAATGTTAATTATACAGGTAATCCTCACCATAACTGAGGCTACAATTTCTGTTACTAAGCAAGACAGTTGTTAAGTGAACTGAGGTGTTGCAATCGTCATAAATAAAAGCTGATTGCCAAATTTCCAAATTTGACCAAATTTGGGAGGGCTGTGACACCTATATGTCACAGGGAGAATTGTAAGTCATTTTTTAAAAATGCCATTGTAACTTCAAACAGTCATTAAATGAATGGCTGTAAGTCAAGGACTATGAGTAATTCTATATAATGATGACAGAAAATAAGGGGAAACAAATGTCTCTCTTTAGAGGAAGATGATGTTCGAAAAGCTTCAATATGACAAATAAGGGAGGAAATGTCACTTCAAGTGGAACATGAGGGATTAACTAATTGATAGGACAGATTCTTCTATAGTAAAATATAAATAAATAAGAAAACATTGAGAACACTGAAAATATATTTGGCTATTTCAGCACCTCATAAAAAACTGTAGAAATTTTGAAGAGATAATTAAGAAAAAAAACCCTATGAACTAGGGCTGGGATAAAAGGAATGTATCATCCTCTAAAAAGTGTCTAGGTGAAGCATGGAGTTTTCAGGAACCTACAGAAAGACTAAATAATCACTTTTCCTTCAGAAAAAAAACTTATCTTTATGGGGATAAGTAAAAGTTTAGCCAGGAAACTGCATTAGATTACAATATTGATTTTGTTTGTGTGTGTGTGTTTTTAATCAACCTTTTCTGATTCTTGTTCTCATTCTGTAAAATCCTAGACTTTTTTCATTTCAGGCTACACCCACAATTTTTTTTCTTTATTAATTTTTTTGTGATCTATACAATAATTTGGAAGCCGACTCAAGTTCATTGTTAGCAGAACAGCACCATCTTGTGGTCTGCCTGGAACATTATAAGTATTTTTGTAAGCTTCTAAAGCAGGGGTCTTCAAACTTGGCCCTTTTATGACTTGTGGACTTCAACTCCCAGAATTCTTCAGCCAGGCACGCTGGCTGAGGAATTCTAGGAGTTGAAGTCCACAAGTCATAAAAGGGCCAAGTTTGAAGATCCCTGTTCTAAAGTAAAAAATAGATGGTACGTGCTTTATTAGAGGATGGGAGATCATGATCACAGTGGTAACTATCACATCATTAACTCAAGGCAGAAAATGTGGTCAAGTTGTGAAGATGCTGACAGTTTTTGGGACAGGAGGTTTGATACCTCCAGCTGTACACCTATGGGTTTCAGCACAATGCTAAACCACTTTCATCTGTAAGGAGGAAGAACATGTTTGAGGATCTGAAATTCTTCATGAATTTAGACTGCACTATTTATAGAAAGGAATAATTGCACCATCCTCCTCCCAGAGCTCCATTTCAAAATGCAGTTATAAGGTAATGTTCAATGATAACAAGCACACATTCAGCTTCTTAAAGGTGGCTTAGGTCATATTAAAATAACTACAGCCTTGTCCATAATATCAGTATTGCATTATCTATTTGATCCCTCTTTCTACCTGAGGCAGGGAATACATTTCCCAGGTACCTAAAATAGTTACTTTTCCCAATAAAAATATTATGCAGCCTATAAACAAAAACAGTTGTGGGTTTATTATTTATTTTTGGTTAATTTATTTTTTGCACTGCCACTTCTTAACATAGTTCTCTATATCTACAGGTACTCATTGACTTATGGCCACAATTGGGATGGAATTTCGGTTACTAAGTAATCTGGCCAGAAAGCAAGTCATGTTTCTGGACAGGATTTAACTACCATTTTTACCATGGTTGTTAAGTAAATCACTATGTCCATTAAGCAAATCACCATGGTTATTAAATGACAAAGTCAATTCCCCAATTCACTTTGCTTGTCAGAAGCCAAGTGGAAAGGTGTAAATCATGATTACGTGATCAGAAGGCACTGCAACAATTGTAAGTACTAGAAAGTTGTCAAGCACCTAAATTGCAATTACATGAAAGAAGAACTTGGATTACAATCCCATATCTATCATTTCATCTCCAAGATGGTGCTGGATATAATCTACTAATGTTAGTTTAAAGGCAACCTTTTTTGAGCTGAATTTATGCTGAATTAATGGATACGCACATTATTCTTGACAATATGGAAATGGTTTGCCATTGCTGTTTTCTGATTTTTTTCTCTTAATTTTCTAATCTAGTCCTCAGCTCTGAGTTTTTCTGATTATCTCCCTTAGAAGTACTTACATTTTCTAACATGACTATCCATAATTTCTATTTGCAATGAAAACTTACGGAACACCAAGACATTCTTATAAACAAAAATAATGTTGGATGACAAGTATTTTGCTTCCATTTAATTTTATTTAAAATTAGAATACTATACTTTTTAAAAAAATGAAAGGTCAAATAGGAAACAGCCTAGCTAGACCTACGGAGGGCTGCCCATTGACCCAAGTATTAGGGTAATGCTGTTTGGAATCAAATATATTTATTTCACTTTCATACATGTTGTGTTTTTATAATTTCAGGTTTCTAAATTATTTATATACCTATATCTGTCAATTTCTTTATTTTCTTTTAACAAGCTACTATTAAGTATTATCCTTTTCTGAAAATAAGATTCTCACATTAAGATTTCTGCAATATGCACAAATTATTCAAATAATTAATTAAATATTTAATTAGAACATGGATAACCACAAATTCTAATTCTTAGTAACCTTTCAAAAAGGAATTTTTATATTATTTCACACTCCATTTTGTGCAATGTTCATAATGAATAAATAAGGAACACTTGCCTTCACAACTTTCAACAGGACTCAGACCTTCCCCTCTATTCACAGTCCAACACTTTTGTGTCTGAATGCCAAAAGAATTCATTATCCCTGTATATATGCGGTACCAGCTGGCTAATACAACCTGTGCAGAAAATAGGATTATAATTTCAAAAGAAAATTGTTTATCTCAGCAGTTGAAAGAAATTCATCTATGGCTATTCATCAGTATCTGACTGTTTTAAGATCCTTTTTCTTTCTCTGAAACTTCATTTTAAGTTTTAGTATATTTTTTATAAAATGGAAACTGACATACAAGCATGCTATTAAAAACATAAACACACACTTGCAAACTTTCAAGGTTTAACCATAAACTAGATAGCACAATAAATGTTCTGAAGACAAGGAACATTTATACCAAGGAAGCATGAATTTATACCAAGACTGAAATTTTATTAATAGGTATTTTTCACAGAATTTCTTTTTCTTTTCTGTAGATTCATCATGTGAAGCCGAGATTTTATGTTTATAATACAGGTAGTCTTAGACTTGTGACCAAAGTAAAATTGATCAAATTAAGATTTTTAAGATAAGAATTCTGCTGCTAAACAAGGCGATTTGCTGTTGTTAAACAAGTTTAGCTTCACTCATAGACTCTGGTTGTCTGAACCCATGTAGGAAGATCACAAATGGCAATCAAATGACCCTGGGACACTACAATCATCATAAATACATGCTAATTGCCAAGTGCCCAAATTTTGATCACATGCCTGTGGGAATGTTGCAATAGTCAAAAGTCATTTTTTTTGCAGTGCCATCGTAATTTTGAACAGTCACTAAACAAATGGTTGTACGTTGAGGATTATCTGCATATTCACTTCCAATTTAAAAGTCCAAGATACTGACAAAATATACTTTTTTTTAAAACTACCTGTAATTCTATGTTGAAATTAGATTGTTTTATTGCTATTATTATTATGGTTAATCTTTAATTTGGTTCACGGTCTGGGAGTGCTAAAAACAATTCAAGTCCTAACCAAAGACCTAAGAGCTGTTAAAGTAGCGTATGAGTATATAGGCATTCTCAATAGGGTGGTTTTTTGCAAAATCAGGATATTCAGGTCTGATAAGTTCAAAGTTTCCATGTATCTAGGCAGCCCTTTGGGTATTGCTCCAAGGACTCCTATTACTATTGGTACAACCATTGATTTCTCTCTTTACAATCACTCAACTTCAATTTGCAAATCACAATATTTTATTATTTTTTTCTAGCTATTTTTCTTCAATTCATGCATCACTTAGTATTGCAATATTAATGAACTAGACTTTTTTCTTTTCCACAATAGTGATGTCAGGTGTGTTGTGGGCCAGAGGTCTGTCTGTTTAGATCTGAAAGTCCCACAGGATCTTGACTTGCTCATTTTCAAGAACTTTGTCAATTTGGTGTTCCCAGTAAATTTTGCTGCATTTCTGGCAAAGCTTCCAATGTATAATTTTGGCAACTCCATCATGGCACTGCAAATAATAAATCTGTGAAATATTACTATAGCCACTGATAAGGTGATCCTCTATTTCATCTTTCTCATTGCATAAGCAACATTTGCTGTTGTTGGTGTCATGTTGATATGCTGTTGTTTCTGTTTTCATGGAATTGGTCTGCAAGGCTTGTTCTTGGGCAGCCAATTGAATCCTTCAGTTTCTTTCTTCAGTACCCATATCTCAAACAGTTCCATGTTAGCTTCATATCTACCTTTCTTTCAATGCCCTTCAGGTTCTGACTGTACATAGGCTTCTTTTTCCAGTTAGAAACTCAATGCTCAATTGTTTACTTTCAATATTCTGCTTTCAATTTGTCTTCAAGAGGTTTCCCTTGTTCACCTACTTCAGCAGCGGCTCTTTTGCTTTTTTTTATATAGTCATTTAAGCCGTGTTTTTCCTCTTCCATAGTTTGTCTCACCTTTAAGAGTCCTCTGCCACCTGAGATCTTGGCAAATGTAATAGATCAATATAACTTTTTGGATGCAGGGCATGGTTCATAGTCATTAATTTTCTTGTTTTTTGATCGAAGTTATCAAGTTCTAGCTGAATCCAATCAAGTATTATATTACAGGCACTGCCCAGATGTTAACTGCCTTTATTATATTTCCTCCACTCAGCTTTGATCTCAAGATTTTCCGGACTCGCTTTATGTACGCTGTTGAAATAGCTTCCTTAACTTGTTTGTGCAGCAGGTCAGAAGCTTCCAAAAGTACCCTTCTTCTAATGTTATTGCTTTTATCAACTCTTCATTATCAAGATAGAATCCATTATCTTCAACAATTTTTCCTGCCTTAACAATTATTGCATATTTATCAATGCCAAATTGCATGCCAATGTCTCTGCTAAACTCCTCAGTGCATTTCAGCAGTAAGCATAATTCAATTGTTGTTGTTGCTGTTGTTATTGATTTAATCTTCAATTCGATTGACAATGTGAAACTGGTAAAAACTTAACAGTTCAAGTCCTAATCAAATCCTAAAAGCTATTAAGGCAGCATCTGAGTATATTGGCAGTTCCAAGTATGGTGGGTTTTTGCAAAGTCAGGATATTCAGGTCTAATAAGTTCAAAATTTCCATGCATCTAGGAGCCCTTTGGCTATTGCTCCAAGGGCTCCTGTTACTATTGGTATAACCATTGATTTCTTCCTCCACATCGTTCAACTTCAATTTGTAAATCACAATATTTTGTTATTTTTTCTAGCAACTTCTCTTCAATTTGTGCATCACCTGGTATTGCAATATCAATAAGCCAGACTTTTTTTCTTTTCCACAATAGTGATGTCATTCGTGTTGTGCGTCAGATGTGTCTGTTTAAATCCAGAAGTCTCACAGGATCTTGACTTGCTCATTGACTTGCAAAAAAATCAAGGATAATAAAAAAAGTTTCTTCCAACATATTAACAATAAGAAAAAAATCAAGGAAACTGTAGGTCCACTAAAGAGAGAGGATGGCAAGGAAATAACAGGCAACAGGGAGAAAGCAGGGTTGCTTAATTCATTCTTTGTATCAATCTTCACACAAAAAGAAACTACATCCCAACATACCAAAAAAAAAACCCACTGCAAAAGACAAACTAGAAACAAAAATTAAAATAAGCAGCAAAATGGTAAGAGAATACCTATCCAACCTTGATGAATATAAATCATCAGGACCCAACAGATTACATCCCAGAATTCTGAAGGAGCTGGCAGATATTATCTCAGAAACATTGCACCATATCTTTCAAAAATCCTGGAGCCCAGGAGAAATACCTGAGGATTGGAAAAGGGCTGATGTGATTCCTATCTTCAAGAAAGGGAAAAAACGGACCCAGGAAATTATAGACCAATCAATTTAACATCAATACCTGGAAAGATCCTAAAAAAGATAATCAAAAAACAGATCTGCGAAGAACTAGAAGCAAACAAAGTTATAACTAGTAGCCAGCACGAATTTCTTAAAAATAGATCATGCCAAACCAATCTTATTTCATTTTTTGATAAAGTGACTATAGTAGACATAGTATACTTAGATTTCAATAAGGGATTTGATAAAGTAGACCACAATCTACTGCTTGGTAAGCTAGAAAAAGGTGGAATACACAACATCACCACCAGATGGATGTGTAGCTGGCTGGCAAACAATACTCAACAAATAGTCCTCAATGGCACTACATCCACATGGAGAGAAGTAAGCAATGGGGTACCACAAGGTTCCATCTTAGGCCCAGTACTTTTCAATATCTTCATAAATGACTTAGATGAGAGAATTGAAGGAGAACTCATCAAATTTGCAGATGACACTAAACTGGCAGGAGTATCTAACACACCAGAAAACAAACTCAGGATCCAAAAAGATCTTAACAAACTTGAACAATGGGTCCTATCCAACAAAATGAGTTTCAATGTGGAGAAAAGCGAAGTTTTACATTTAGGCAGGAAAAATCAAAAGTACAAGTACAGATTAGGCAAGACCTGGCTTAAAAACAGCAACGATGAGAGGGACCTTGGAGTCCTAGTGGACAATCACTTGACTATGTGCCAGCAGTATACAGCAGCAGCCAAAAAAAGCTAATACAATCCTGGGTTGTATAAACAGAGGCATAGAATCAAGATCACACAAAGTATTAGTGCAGCTTTATAAAACCTTAGTAAGACCACACCTGGAATATTGCAGCCAATTTTGGTCACCATATCACAAAAAAGATGTTGAGAGATTGGAAAAAATTCAGAGAAGAGCATCTAAGAGATCAAAGGCCTGGAGACAAAAAATACGAAGAATGGCTGCAGGACTTGGGTTTGGCTAGTCTAAAGAAAAGAAGAAATAAGGGAGACATGATAGCAGAGTTCCAGAATTTGAGGGGCTGCCACAAAGAAGAGGGGATCATGTTATTTTCCAAAGCATCAGAGGGCAGGACAAGAAAAAATAATTGGAAACTGATGAGAGAGAAACAACCTGGAATTAAGGAGAAACTTCCTGACAGTGAGGACAATTAACCAGTGGAACAGTTTGCCTCCAGAAATTGTGGGTGCTCCATCACTGGAGATTTTTAAGAAGCTAGACAGTCACTTGTCTGAGATGGTATAGGTTCTCCTGCTTGAGCAGGGGGCTGGACTAGAAGATCTCCAAGGTCCCTTCCAGCTCTATTCTATTCTATTCTATTCTATTCTATTCTATTCTATTCTATTCTATTCTATTCTATTCTATTCTATTCTATTTTCAAGAAGTTTATCAATTTGGTGTTCCCACTAATTTTTGCTGCATTTGAACCCAAACGTCTGGTAAAGCTTCCAATGTATGATTTTAGCAACTCAATCATGATGTTGTAGATAATTAGTCTGAGAAATTTTGCTACAGCCACTGATAAGATGATCCAAAGTTTCATCTTTTTCACTGCATCATCATCATCATCATCATCTGGCTTACCTCTGGATAGAGATTAAATCTTTTCAGTGTGTTTATTACAAGAGGATATTCAGTTAGATTATCATTCATAATCATCCAAACTCCACTGTAAAATGATGGTGCTTCAACTATAGTCTTGAAGTAGGAATAATAGAGACCCTAAAGTGAATATATTTAAATAACAATATTTAAATATTTATATTTAATATTTAAATGTATAATTTGCTTCATATTTGTGTATTTGAATTTATATAATTTGCTATAGCAATAAATACAATAATATCAATGAAATTAACTTTATCATTTCTAGATCAGAATTAGAATAAAACAAGATTAAAACAAATATTGCAAGTTATCTATAATGTATCAACACTTGCTTAATTAAGGTGTTGAACTACATCTGGCAAAATTCAAGTACAAGTATATACTCAGTCACTGACACCAGTCATCAGGTATTATTATAGAAAATATAGCAAAATTTGTTTTAGTGGTTAAGGCAACAGAAGACTGTTTATTCTAGTCCAGCTTTAGGTATGAAAGTCAGTTGGGAGACTTTGATGTTATTTTGGATAAAATAGGAGGAAGAAGGAGTATTAGATATTTTCACCAACTTATATTATTTATAAACATAATAAACATGGGATATAAATAAGTAAGAAAAAGTGCTACATAAACTACAGATAGTACCCAACTTACAACAATTCATTTGGTGACCATATGAAATTACAATGGCTGTGAAAAAAGTGACTTATGACCATTTTTCACACTTACAACTACTACAGCATCCCATAGTCACATGATCAAAATTAAGATGCTTGGCAACTGACTCTATTTATGATGGTTGCAGTGTCCCACAGTCATGAGATCAGATTTTGTGACCTTCTAATAAGCAAAATCAATGGGGAAGCCAGATTCACTTAAGAGCCCGTTACTAACTGAACAACACAGTGATTCACTTAACAACTATAGCAACAAAGATCATAAACTGGGGCAAAACACAACTGTGTCATTTAGCAATAGAAAATTTGGGCTCAATTGTTATCGTAAGTTGAGGACTACCTGTATTTGAAATTATAGAAGAAAGGCAGGATATGAATATAAATAATCAATCAATCAATATATTCCTAACTGGCTTGTACTACTATTATGAGGTTCTAAATTCTTCTTAATCCTCCAAGCAGTCCAAATCATTAACATAGAATAAATTAAAAAATAACAACTGAATCTACATTTAGCCATTACTAATTTAAATTCCATACATTTTATTCCAAGCATAACTAAAATTATTTAAAATATATTTTACTGAAAAGATAAATATCTCTTATAGTAGGGATCCCCAACTAGGACATACAAGTGTGAATGAGTGAACGAAGTTTCATCTGTGCACGTCAGGGTCTAGGTTGCATGTGAAACCATCCCCTATCCCCAGTTCATGGAAAGATTGCATTTCCAAGAAACAATCCCTGGTGCCAGAAAAATTGGAGACCTCTGTCTTATAGCTATATTTTTCTTCTATCCAATTATGTCTAATTCTCAAAGACTGCCTTAATAAACCCCTGCACTTTTCTTGGCAAAGTTTTTCAGAAGTGGTTTCCTATTGCCTCCTTCCTACGGCAGAGAAAATGATTGGTCCAAGATCACCAAACTGGCTTTGTGCCTAAGGCAGTACTAGAATTTACAGGCTCCTATATGGTAGCCTGATGCCTTAAACACTACACCATATTTATTGAAACAATTTACTTATGTAATTTATAGGCTGCCCAACTCCAATGTCTCTAGAGGGCAAATTAGTTTAGTAAAGAGATAATCTAAAGAAGCTGCATGTATTTGAAAATTTTTCAACATCAGTAAAAGAAACTGTGACAAGTAATCGGTGAAACTGCAAATACCACATAAATATTAAAATATTAAGAACAAAAATATTTCTAAATCATCTAAACAACTACAGTACCTTTTTGATTCAAGAATACATGGTAATTTGCATTTAAAAATTAAAAAATGTATTATTTGATATCCTTATTTTAGAATTAATATGTCTAAAAGTAATAATATCAATTAAAATTATGTTCTAACCATTTCAGTTCGAAATGCCATTTCCCGTTCCAGAGTTGAAAGATGAGAAAAGTGGCGATCATTTTCAAAAAGAGTTGTTATGTGATACCTGTTAAAATTATACATATTTGGCAATAAATCAGAAAAATAAATTCATTACAGTATCCTTGTAAATGAACCTGCAAAGTTTACCAGTTTGCAAAAAATTACTAGTCTGAGTTTTAGTCTTGAGTGGGGTTATCAAAGAATTGTCACATCTCTCTTCCACATGATCCTAAATTGAGTTGCTGGAAGATGTTCCATCTCTCCTCCAGGAATCACTTGGGTAAAAAGATTCCTGGATAAAACCTAATCACAAAAATGCCAAATCCTGCCATGGAGAGGTAGAGCATTATACTTCTTTCTAGTAAGTCTACTCACCTTCATTATAATCATTTGCACATATTTTTACAACTTAGGTATACTATAATCCCTCATATGCTCTATATAAACCAGTCCCTTCTAAGAAAATAAACATGAAATGTACTTGATATTCAGAGTCATGTAAGTAATGAATTCATTACTTCTATACTATTTGTAGATGTATTTCAAATGTTTAACACATGAAAAAAGTTCTAATCAACATGGAGATTGCCTCATTAAATGAAATATATTTGACTTTAGAAAGTATCTCTGAGTAGACCCTTCTAGATTAAAATATAATCCAGCATTATTATGTTAGTTATTAAAATAGCAACAACAAAGACATAAGTTAAATTAGAAAGCCTTCATCTCAGCATGAAATATTATTTACTTCATCAAATATAGATATACAGAAAGTTAACAGCCTTCTTACTAGAGAAGGGGCGTTGTCTTACCTGAATGCCTTTTCTCAGCATGAGGAATGTAGACTCCACGCATGGGTTGATTTAGTCTTCTAGCCCAATCAGACCAAACAATCAAAGTTGCCACGCCTCTGCAGGGTCTGACCATGCCCCAGTTTCGAAAGGGCGAAGCGAATGATTGTGTGACGTGATGGCTCCGAACTGCTGACACTAACCTAACTGCTAGTAATGATCAGGGAGGGGGTAGAGTCTACATTCCTCATGCTGAGAAAAGGCGTTCCAGGTAAGACAACGCCCCTTCTCCAGCATGTAGAGGAATGTAGACTCCACGAATGGGACATACCAAAGCCCTTATGATCCCACGGGTGGGAAGCAGTTGGTTAAGTGTCGGTGCTGAAATGGACCACTTGTTGTAAAATCCGACAGCCAAAAACAGCCTCCGTGGAAGCAAACTTGTCGAGTTTGTAGTGGTGAGTGAATGGTGAAGGAGACAACTACGTAGCCGCCTTACAGATGTCCTCTTTGGATGCCTGAGTCTGTCACGCCGCCAATGTGGAAGCGCTACGAGTAGAGTGCGCTGTCAGGCGGCTTGGGACAGGTAAAGAGGAAGCCTGGTAAGATTGAGCGATACAGGCCTTGATCCACCTGGCTATAGTAGAGGAGGAAACCTTCTGTCCCTTGGAAGTTGAGTGGAAAAAGACAAACAATGCCTCTGATTTGCGAAAGGATGTTGTCCTCTTAATATAATGACGTAATGCCCTACGTACATCTAGGTAATGCCACTGCTTTTCTAGTGTGTGAGAAGGATTGGGACAAAAGTTTTGTAGTACAATGTCCTGAGCCCGGTGGAACAGTGTATTCACCTTGGGAATGAATGAGGGATCTAACCTCAGCACCACTCTGTCCTGATAGAAGGTACACAGATCTTCCCTAACTGAAAGAGCAGCCAGCTCTGACACGGGTCTCGCCAACATGATGGCTACTAGGAAAGCCACCTTGTGGGACAAAATGTGAAGAGGACAAGACCTTATAGGTTCAAAGGGAGACCTAGTGAGTGCCTGCAGAACACGAGGTAGTTTCCTCATGTTCTGCAGGCACGAGGGACCTACCTCGTGTACTACCGGAGGTCTGGTGTTGGAGACTCCTTTCATAAAGGATCGGACCCTGGGATGATGGGACAATGGAGTGGCATTGGCACAGGTGAACACCATGGAAAGTATGGCCACCTGTCTATGCAAGGTGTTGGGCGCTAAGCCCTTATCCACTCCATCCATGAGGTATTCAAGAATCACTGGAATAGTGACAGAAGAGATAGACAAACCCTTACAGGTACACCAGTCACAGAAGTTCTTCCAAGTGGCATCATAGATTCGGTTCGTCGCCAGCCGTCTGGAAGCTTGGATCATAGCTATCACCCTTGAAGAGTAAGATCCGCACATCAGGAACTGGCGCTCAGATGCCAGACGGCTAGTTGTAGCCACTGTGGGTCCGGATGGCATATGGCCCCCTGCGTTAGAATTATCCTCTCTGGAGGGATTTGCTAAGGGGGGGCTACGGCGAGGTTCACGAGATCCGCGAACTATGGACGCCTCGGCCAATATGGGGCCACAAGGATTAGCTCCGCCAGTTTCTGTAACAGCTTCCTGATGACAGCCGGGATCAAGGGAAGGGGTGGAAATGCATATAGAAGGCCCGCCGGCCAAGGGCTGCGGAGGGCGTCTGCTCCTTCCGAACCGTGGGATGGGTACCGAGATAGAAACCGGGGAAGCTGGGTGTTCTTCGGGGATGCAAACAGGTCGACTTTGGGCCGACCGAAACGGTAAGTTATCTCCCGAAAGCGACAGGGATGTAGACGCCACTCTGAATCATCTATCATAGATCGACTCAGAAAATCTGCCTGGTCGTTTTCCACCCCTGAAATGTGTTCCACCTTTGGGGACAACAGATTCTGTTCCACCCATGACCCCAGACACTGGGCCTCGGACATTAGAATCCACGATTGAGTGCCGCCCTGCCTGTTGACATGGGCCTTTGCTGCCACATTGTCTGTCAGAACCAGCATGTGGCGGCCCGCCAACTTCTTGTGGAAATGGCGAAGTGCTAGGCATATGGCTCTGAGCTCTAACCAATTGATATTTTTCTTGAGATCCCATTGAGACCACCGTCCCTGGATGAATTGGGATTGCAGATATGCCCCCCATCCAAACAGACTGGCGTCTGTGGTTGGTTCTCTGAACAGGGATCCTTTGGACAGTGCTGGGGACAACCACCAGATGAGGGACGTGAGTGTCTGTGGTGGGACTCGCACCCTCTGTGGAAAACATGCTGCATCCCTATGGAGCAGGGTTACACGTTTCTCCTTGCGCACCCTGGTGACCATTGTACGTATGCTGAGCTGACGCTCCTGAGACAGGAAAACTCGGCACTGGCTGGTGTCTATTATTGCGCCTAGGTGGAGCAAACAGTTTGTTGGGATCAGATGGCTCTTTGGGAAGTTGATCATAAATCCATGATCCTGGAGTGTCTTGATCGTCAGTGCCACGTCTGATCGGGCGTTCAGTGCTGAGGACGACTGGATTAGGATATCATCCAAGTAGCACTGAACGCGGACTGGTACCAATCTGAGCTGTGCGGCGAGAACTGCCAGGATTTTGGTGAAAACCCTTGGAGCTGACGATAGGCCGAATGGCAGGGCCCTGTACTGATAGTGATGGTTGGAATACCTGAATCTGAGGAAACGCCTGTGATTTGGATGTATGGGAACGTAAGCTTCTGTCAGATCTATGGATGTAAGAAAATCCCCCGGCCAAATACTGCCCAGAATAGAATGAAGAGTTTGCATCTTGAATTTTTGGTAAATTAGGTACTGATTTAGAGCCTTGAGGTCTAGGATCGCCCTCCATCCTCCTGAGGCTTTTGGTACCACGAACAGGATGGAGTAGGAACCCAGTCCCCATTGATCTGGGGGTACCCGCTCTATTGCCTCTATGCTTAACAGATGACAAATGGCCTCCTCCATGAGACCTTGTTTCACGGGATTTCTGGACAGGGGGCAGGAGATGAAGCGCTGAGGGGGAGTGTGAGGAACTCCAGAGACAGTACGTCTCTGATAGTGGTTAGAACCCAATTGTCTGTGGTGGTACTTTCCCATTTGTGGAAATATAGTGCCAGTCTTCCACCAATGGGAGGAATCCACCTCAAATCACTTTGACTTTCGGAAAGCACGAGCTCCTCTGCCGCGAAAGGGCTGCTTAGCCTGGAATTGTGACTTTGGCTTGTCTCTATAGCTGGACCGGTCCGATGAGCGGTCCGGCCCTGCTTGAAAGGGCCGATACCCGCTCCATGTAGTTCGGTCTGAGCCAGACTTGAACGCCGGACGCCAGTTGTATGGAGAAAAACGTCTGCCCGTTTTTTGACAACATGAGCTAGTACTTTCAACTTTTCTTTGTTTTCAGTTAGGTAAGGAGAGCCTCTCCAAAAAGGCGACCCTTTTGATATGGTGCCGCAGCTACTCTCCATTTGTGCCTGGTATCGGCCTTCCAATTTTTTAGCCAGAACAACCGGCATGCCGCCACATTGGAAGCTATGGCCCGAACCAAATATTTGGCTGACTGCAGAGACACATCCGCCATGTATTACAGTGCAGCCCTTAGTTTAATGACATCCTGGTGAACCCTTACTTCGTCTGGGGATAATCTGGCCTGTAATTCCCTGAGCCAGATTAATGCAATTCTGGTGAAAAAGGAGTTAGATGTTGAGGCTCTTATAGCCCAAGCCGATGCCTGATGGGTCCTTTTGAGGGAAATCTCAGACTTCTTGTCCTCAGCCTTAAGGGCCTCCGGCATATCTCCTGGGATTTTGGTGTCTGACAGTATGGGGGCAAGAGCCTCGTCTACACTCGGAACTTCGAGGACATCGTTGAGGGAAGGGACCGTATCTAAGAGCTTACGATCTAATCCCCCAAGAGCAGAGAAACTTCCAGGAGATCCCCACTGATCCTGAATGGATTTGAGAAACATAGGGGGGCAAGGTATCCGTAGATTCTTCTTGACCGGTTCCAGAAACAGTGGATCAGAACTCTGTCCAGAGTCCTGATCGGTCATCTGTGGTTTCACGGGTTCAATTTTTCCGGTGACATAGGCTTTTTGTAAAAGAGAATAGAAGGAATTTGGATTCCACTCCTATCATAGGAGTGTCTTCCCCGTCTGACCACATGCCTTCTTCCGGAATCTGAGCGGAAAAATCCGATATCTCGCTTCCTTCAGATTGAGGTGGAGAACAGTGATCTGAGATCACATACTCCCTGGGATGCATAGTTTCTGTGGGCATAGGGGGGTTTGACGGTCCTTGGACCGGAATGGCCCTCCCTGAAGCTGCCATTGCCTGAGCCACCGCCTGTGAGATCATGGCTTGGAACTGGACAGTAAATGAAGGATGTTCGGGGCCCTGAAGACCTGCCGCCGTTGGCATGAAAGATGCTGACGGGATTGGGGGAGGGACGACTGTAGTAACCTCCCCCTGAGACCCACAAGACACTGAGGAAGGTCCTGGCTCAGCAGCTGGAATTGAATCTTGGACCTGTAATCTCAATTCTCGGTCAAAGAGGGACAGATGGTCCCATTCATATCCCAGCAAAGAACCCTGGTCCAGGGTCTGCTCGGGAGACCAAGCCCGTGTAAAAGGGGAAGGTCGATGCTCCCCTGATGTGGATGCAAGAGGAAGTGAGGGGATAAGCTGCGTCTCTCCTGTCTGCCGCTGGGCTTTGGAGAATTGTCGCTCCAGCGCCCTATGTCTGCTATCTGCTTGCTTGTCATCGGCCTTAGAGGTCCGTTTGACCTTGGCCTTTGCAGGTGTATCCAGACTGGATGGCTTGCATTTTATATTTCCATTGGAGGTGGAAGCCTGTGAAACGGTGTTATCCGCCATATTGAAATAAACAATAGGAAATAAACAACAGGTGTTCACCAGGAGATCCCTGGATCTGGCCTGTACTGCAATAGAAGAAAAGACAGGTTTTCACCACGGCCCACCTGGGTGGTACAGGCCTGCACGAGGGTCTGTGAGGTCCGGCCCGCCGTTAAGCACGGAGTCACTACGCGATATAAGCCGCACTACGCTCAGGGGCTGTCCTCCCCATTCAATTTTTCAGGCCCACTGTAATAGAGACAATTTGGCCGAAAAAGTATCAAATATCAATTAAAGATAAGTCTATATATGAATATAGATATATATCTTGTTTATTTTAATTCTGTTTTATTTTTATTTATTTATTTATTTATTTATTTATTTTTGACCCTCGTGTGTCACTTAGTGATGGCTAGGACAGTAAGTGCCGACCATTATGCAGACCGCGGAAAACAGGCAAGGCAAGCAGCAATCCAATCTGTTGGCACTGGATATTTAAAAGGTACTGGTAAGTCACACAGTCTGGAATATTACCAGATAAAATGGAGTGAGAGACTCAAGGTATTTTCCCTATGTCCACTAGGTAACCTGAGATGGTGCCTATTAAGCAGCTGAAGCACGAGGTAATGAAGATCTAAAGGAATGTAATTAGAACTCCTATTCCCCCCCCCACTTAGGGAGAATCATCGAATAAGTAAGTTACTTTGTGACTGAAAAGGCTGTAATTAGGACAAAGCAGTCAATTTCTCTCTTTAAATTGAGAGAAAAGATCCTCTACTGCAAGTAATCTGGTAATAAGCTCTTTTAGTCAAACAGTTCACCTGCGGTTTTTTTTGGGTAATTTACAGCTGACAATCAACAGTAACAAGGAAGTACTTGAGTAGTGTGAGGATCGAGCCTTCTAGAGGCTCAAAATGGCACCCGCAGGTTGTTTGAAATGGTAATGAACCTAGGAAGGTGATTTCAGTTTTCAGCCGAAAATTAGTAGTTTAAAACTTTGTATTCACAGCAAAGATCCTGGGAGGGGGTGGGGGAGGTAGATTGTAATGAGGAGGCAGCAATCTACGATCAGCTGTCTGCCTCTGAGAAAACTCACGAAGGGAATTGATTAAGAGAGAAGAAATGGTGCAGCATTGAGCTCAGAGCTGAACCAATCCCCCCCCCCAAAGAAGGAAAAAAAGGATATAGAATCCACGAATGGCAATAACTACCTTTCTGAATCTAAATTGGGAACCAAATTCTCACGTCTCTTCAGGGCTGAGACCAAACGAAACTGGGGCATGGTCAGACCCTGCAGAGGCGTGGCAACTTTGATTGTTTGGTCTGATGGGGCTAGAAGACTAAATCAACCCATTCGTGGAGTCTACATTCCTCTACATGCTGGAGAACTTCATATTCTTAAATTTGCATGTTTAACAATCCATTTGAGAACTGAATGTCTTCCTTCTAATATCTTCCGGAAAATAGCACTAATACAACAATGGACTAATGTTATACTAAGGAGACCAAACCATATTTATTATTGTTTATTATGCCTGAACTGCTATTTTTTAAAAAGAGTATAAAGAAATTATATAGCAAAATGGACTGAAAGTCTTGCTAATCTCTGTTTAAAAAAGGATTTGTTCCTCATTTCTACAGAAACTACAATTTTTGGCTAATTAGAAAACCTGTATACTTTGTGCTTCTAATGAAGCAATGGAGTCCATAAATAATATAATAAGAGGAAGTATTGCAAGATTCCTGCCTATAAATTTATTAGGGAATAGTCTGGCTCCCTGGGCTTCATAAAAAGGGAATCTTGAGAGAGAAAATGTGAATGCAATTTAAAAAATAAGAAGTAAAGACAGGAAGCCTATTATACAAATGAGTTCAAAAATACAGAGAAAACTAAAAACATATCAACTCTGGCCTAAATCACACACAAGCTACTTGAAGGCTAAGTACAACTTTGGTCACATGCAGCATAGAGCCAGTAGTGACCCGACCTCCCCATAAATTTGGAAATAATTGTTCTCTGTGTGGAGTGGCACTACAAAGAACTGTGAACTAGTAAGCTCCAAAGATTTTCCCAGTGTCAACTCAGTAAGATCTAAATTCATCAAGAAGGATATTTTGCACTCTCCTTGCATACTGTAGGAAAGAGAAAACTAAGTAAATATGATTGGTGAGGGGAGGGGGAAATGAACTTATGACCAGTCCTATAAGTTTCTGCTGTTGTAGCTTCCCTGCCATCATATAACCACTATCCAGATGCTCAGTATCCAGTTCACAATTATAACATCACAGTGAGTTGGGTTATATGAATGCCACTGGCAGCTTCCCACAACAAAATCATTGGGAAAGATGGTAGGAAAGGTTGCAAATTATCCCAGTAAGACATTCCTGCTTTTTCTCCCAAGGAGCCCATTATCTCCTATTTCATAGCAGACCCCTGCCCATCTGCTTTCTAACATGTCTGTGGCCTCTGCAGACCAACTCATACTCCCTAGTGCTCACCCATAGCACCCACATACCCCCCATGCTCTTTATCTGGCACTCCTACCTGTTCCTATTTAATGACCTGCACATCCTGGCATTGTGATGGCAACTGGGACTGCTGTCACTAAGCAACGTGGTCATGCTTTATGACCACGTCACTTAGCAACAGCAATTCTAATCCCAATTGGCATTTAACCCAAGGACAGCCTGTATGGGAAGGAGGCCAGTCTGGAGGAGGGGAAGGCACTGAAGCCCCATCCGTTACTGCTTTATAACCTCTGGCCTACCACTGTGTACCAGCCTAAGGGACTTAAGACATATAGAGATAATGCTACTGTAATTAGACATTGATGAAGCATTTTTGTTTGCAGAACATAAACTTACCAGTGAAGGATTCCTGCAACAGCAGCTGTTAAGAAAAATAAAACAAAACATAACGCCTTATTTTTAAATTAAAATTTTAAAATATAACCCCAATCCTTAAGGGCTATATATATGTAACACCTCTAAAAGCTTACACAAAATTTCTCTACACAAAACATTTTATGTTTTCTGTAGAATATTCAAACAAGTATTCTTTATCTGTTTCATTCTAACTTGCAAAGTTATATATCTGATATATAACTTTGCAAGTTAGAATGAAACAGATAAAATAGATATCTGCATTATTGCTTTCATATATCAGCTGTTTAAAAATATTACAGTGTTATATTTAGGGCATATCTAACAAATTTCTAACTTCTCATGAAGCCAATTTTATATATTAAAAAAGACACACAAGAGTATTCATGCAATTTCTGCTATGTCATAGGAGCAAAAAAAGAGAAGGCAGGACTATCTCTATCTCTCTCTCTCTCTCTTGCGCGCGCGCGCAGGGAAGGGGGGAGGGAGAGAGAGAGACAGTGTCTATCCTGCCTTCTCTTTTTTTGCTCCTATGACATAGCAGAAATTGCTTTATATATATATATATATAAACGGTCTCTCAGCCCTGAAGATGTTGGGGAGTTTTCCCAATGAAAGCTTGGCAACCTTTTAATATAGTAAAATACTTTAATTAAAGTATTTTAACTTTAAACTCTCCTGGTGAACGCACTTTATTCATTCCATTTATAATTATGCCCGGGAGTCGCATTTTCACCATCATTATTTAATATATATATATATATATATATATATATATATATATATATATATATATATATATATATATATATCAGACATACTGTTGTAGTTTGGATATATCTTTGTAATACAACTATAGAAAATTTCAAAGGTATAATTTCTGGATCTATAACTAAAAAATTTAAAGTTAACACCAATCACCATCACCCTTAAGCTATGCCTTTAATACTAACAATTCCAAATATAAATGCAAATATATAGTTTATTAATGAAATATGTATTTTATATCACTTGAAAAACTGTTCATTTTGTCACACATTACACTCCTTAACAACAAGAATAAAATGTCATAAAACTCATACTTTTTTGCAAGAGTCTGATTCAGCTACCATGTGAAAATATTATTTTACACTTGTTGTAAGAAATATCCTTAATTTTATATATTCAAGTAATCTACTTGCATTACATCTGTGGAACCAACAGGGTATTAACATCAGAATCTCATCTTGTATCCTTATATTGTCTTACTTGGGAGTAAATTTAGTCATTTGGACTGAATTTTGCAAGACCCTGTAAGACAGCATTATTAGAAAATAAGAACTATAAAATTCTCACCCATTATAAGTGTAAGCCATATTTTGCTATCTGTTCTTGCAATAAAGAATCCCGTTTCTCGCAGAGCATCTATATAAAAAGAAAATAAGTATCATTAATGTACTATTATTTATAGAATTTATAAAATGTATTTAAAAGAATTGTCCTCGCAAAAATTTATTATATTTAGAAACTTTTCTAAACTTTTTGCTTCCTTATACTGAATCTAGTTCTTTTCTCAGTAATACTAAAATAAGAATTATACGTAGTGTTCAATGTTCAAATAACATTTTTTCAATAGGATGATATATATTTACTGCAAAAAGTTGGGAGATTTAGCTTACATTTAAATAGGATACAAAAGCAGACTTTTTGGAGTTTTCCTCCAATTAAAATTCTTCCAGCTTTCCATTCTTCCTCAGGCAACACTGAAAGATGAGAAGCCTCTCCTAAACGGGATAGGCTATGTGGTATGGGAGAATATTAGGCAATAATATGCCATTAATGGAAGAGCTTCTTCCCATTTCTTTATCCTATCACTACAAAACTACTCCTGGAGTACATGGGCACCAATATGCCTGAAGAAATAATTCTTAGTGTTCATTTGGCTTCCTGCCTGGAATTGACTTTTTAGATTTATTTCTTTAAAACAAAATATATTAATTAAAAGAGGGTGAATGTAAAAAAATTAAATATTCTTGGTGAAGGAATGGATGAGCTGTAACTTGGTGCTGAGAAAGTGGAAACCGTAAGAAAGAAATTCAAAATATCCACAGCTTGATACTATTTGGTATAAACTGGAATAGATCAAAATTCTGATACATTTTCAAGATTCTAAATGTTTATGTTGTATTGTATAATAATAAATCAGTGCTGGTATAATCTTTGCAGTGTCTGGCCTACAATACCTCAAATGGCTGACAGGGAGGGAAGCTGGTATGTTGCAAAGCGCCAGCCTCCAATAATCTGTATTATTTATATCCACATGATCTTCAACAGTTTTCTTTGGAAATAAAAATGATACTATGTTTTATTTGAAAATATGTTAAACTGCCCAGAAAGAAAAATAAGATAGAGTATGATAGAAGTTAGGAACATAGATAAGTAGTAGTTTCATTAATTGGCTCTTTTAACTACTGCAATTATTTGCCAAGACTGTCATTTTGAGAATGGGAAGACTACGTCCTCCAGCCAGATTGGTCATAATCTCATAATTTTAAATATTCTCAACTATCAAAAAGGTTGGGGTCCAAGCATACTCATTGCTCTGAATTTTGATGCATTAAATTTAAGACCATATCATAATTTCAATACAGTTCTTTCACTCAGTGCAACACAATCTCTGATATAATATACAAGTAATATTATTGATTAAATTTAAATATAGTTAAGAAGCTTGTGATGTATCTTAGACGTGTGTATTTATGGCTATATATGAATCCTTAGCATGAGTATATTCTTGGATTAAGCATGCAAAAGACCACAATCTTATGTATTTCAACTGAGTATCTTTGAATCTTAGGAAGTTAAAACCAAGCTTAGATATGATTATATCAGCACTGTAGAGATAAGTTTGAAATAACATAATTAAGCCATGGTGGCACAGTGCTTAGAATGAAGTATTGCAGGCTAACTTATTGCTCACTGCTAGCAGTTTGATTCTCATCAGCTCAAGGTTGTCTCAGCCTTTCATCCTTCCGAGGTCAGTAAAATGAGGACCCAGATTGTTGGCGGTAATATGCTGACTCTGTAAACTGCTTAAAGAGGGCTGTAAAGCACTGTGAAGCAGTATATAGGTCTAAGTGCTATTGCTATTGCTAAGCTGTTGTTGGTTTTATTGGGATGAAACTATGGGAAATGCCCTAAGACTTACATTAGTAGATGGTAAACCAACCAACAAAAGATAGCTTTTCATTTAAAAATGATTTTTTTTAAAAAAATATGTGCAAATACTGGGAGATTTTGATTATGTACTAGTAAGTCAGTGTTGACCTTTAGCAATCACATACATATAATTTCTTCATGTATTCCTAACTTGGATCTTATTGCTACTAAGTTCATTCTCTTTTCTTCCACTTTTTCTAGTACTATACCTACTCTAGGGAGCTAAGTCTTTACATGTGTTGATAGCAAAATCATATGAGCATGATTTGTGTCTCCACTGAGAACTCCGGATTGATTTATTTGATGACCATTTGCTCATTTTTTTGGGCTGCCCACAATAATCTCAGGATTCTTACAACATCAAAGCTCAAAAACATCAATAATCTTTCTATCCTGCGTATTCATCTTTTTTTTAGTGAAATTTTTACTGAAAATTTTAACAGTGATAAGAACTAATACAAACTAAAATAGAGCAGAAAAAAAACAAAAATAAAACAAAAATGAAATAAAAGAAAAAGAAATAGTGGAATAAGAAAAAAAGTAAAAGAAAGTAGGAAAAAATAACGATATAAAGATACAAAGAAGTGGCTTCCAATATAATTTTAAGTAAAATTATATTTTAACCTTTCACTTTTTAAAGTTGCATCGTGATTCTTTTTTCCTTTTTCTCTTTCCTACCACTTTTACTAGAATTATACCATCTCTAGGGAAGTAAGTCTTTGCATACTGTATCCAAACTAAAATAGAACAGAAATGTTGGAAGTGGCTTCCAATATTCTTCACTGCAGTTAAATAAATTAACATTTTAACATTTATTTTTTAAAATTGCATCATGCCTCTCTTTCTACAATCTATCTAATAATCAAAACCATAAATGACAAGTTTTTTTCATTTTCATGAAAAATCCATAACATGTTTTCAGTCACCAATAAAGGTTGATAGTGTTATTTCATTAATCAAACAAACAAGTCAGTTTATCCATTTCAGCAAGTTCTGCCAATTTCATCAAGGTCCATTATTTCCTGCTTCTTCAAAGTGCAAGTTTTGCTGCTGCAGAGGATCACAAGAAACATCTTTCTTATCGTTGTAGGTATAGGCATATCATGGCATTTAAATATCATTTCCAAGGACTTCATGGCTGCTCTACCACATGTTAGTCGATAGCAAATTGTTCTTTTGATATTGATAATTGATTGGGGGTTTTTTTGTAATTAACTTAAATCACATTTTTAACATTATTAGATCTAGCAAGTCATTTCCATTTTCAGCTATCAGAATGCCATCAGCATAGACTGTTCTTCTTAACTTTAAATCCACACTCAACTTTCAATCTATCTTTCCTTAATATACATTCAGCATATAGGCTGAATAAATAAAGGGTGTACTGTACAGTCTTGTCTAAATCCTTTGCTAATTGGAGCCATTCGACTTCACCATGTTCTATTCATACTGTGGCTTCTTGACTTGGGTATATATTTCATATGAGCACAATTAAATATTCTGGGATTCCCATTTTTCTAAGTATATCAATAGTATCAAAGGCCTTTCTATAGCAACTTCTTTTTGGTATTTGCTGGTGGAAGAAGCAGAGGAAATAATACGGTTTGTTGATACAAATGTTTGCCCAAAGTGAACGTGTTTGCATTAATGTTAAGGTTCTGTCCGCTTTGTTATATGAAAGTGAAACTACGGTAAGAACAGGTATGAAAGTATAAGGAATGCAGTGGGAATGGCTTATTAAAGAAGTAAGCACTGTAAACAAAAGATGAATTAAATATGGATTGAACACAAAATGTGCAAGGTGGTTTATCAAAATAAGACATATAATTAATAGCAAAACAAATATGAAATGGTATAGAGTTTCCTGCCTGAGCAAGGGGTTGGACTAGAAGACCTGCAAGGTCCCTTCCAACTCTATTATTATTATTGTTATTATTAAATATATGAAAGAAGAATGAATGACTGAAACAGAAGACAAGAAATGTATGGCTGGATGGAACTGATGAGATGTTGAAAGAGAGAGAAAAGGCAATATATGAATCAGGGTACAAATGAGGTAGAAACAAGGATGATCTGCAAAGACAGAAGATAATGGAAAGGTTTCATGAATGGTATTGGTCAAAACCAGACAGTTAGATATAGTAGCTCCTTGTTTTATCTTTTGCCTTTAATCTCTTTTATTCATTTATCCAAAAGTGAATACTGTGTAATAAGTATGCCTTTATGTAAAATAAAATTAACCAATCTCATTTTTCCTCTTAAAGTTTATGTACAACAGCATTCTTTCCCCACTATCGTTTCTATTGTTGAAGTTTGATTCCAAGACCAAAAGCAAAGTTTGGGCAGGGAATCCCCTACACACAATTATTTTCATTTTGTCAAACATCTGAAAAGTATTTTGATAAAACCTTGCCCGCCCCATGGACGGTGTTTTGTATAACTAATTGATACAGGCGCTAACGGCAATCATAAACTTAGAGCGGCGTAGCTTGATTCTCACATCCACACAATGACTCGGAAGGAAGCGCCACTAGCCCTACAGCCTACCCTCATATGGGAAGAAGTTCCACCAAACTCAACTCTTCTTGCCTATTCCAAGAAGGCAGGCGGGCTGCAGAAAGTACATTTGGCTAAGCCAGGGTTCCCTCAGCAGAGTCAGCCCTTCCCTCCGCTTTTGCTTTTCCACTCCAGACCCTTCGATCCCCCACCCGCGGGTATCTCACCGCGCAGCCAGTCTTGCCATTCGCCGAATTCGTGGGCCAAGCGGTCCCTTTTCGCTTGCCTCTGAGGGTCGCTTTTCGTCCCTTTTCTGCCTGGTCCTCCCCTCTTCATTGCGTGAGGAGAGGCCCCACCGGGAAGCTGCCTCCCCAGCGACTGTTGCAGCCCTCGGAGTAAGAAGACAGCGGCGGTTGGTGCGCTCACGGCGTCTTGGCTGGCGCTGCGATCGGGCTCCGTGCCTCCGCTCCGGCCCTGATGCTTCTCTTCCTGAGGTAGCAGGCGCGTAGGAGAAGGAGGAGCTCGCCTGCCGCGACTGTTGCCTCCGCCACTGGCGAGATTGAGAGGCGGCGACTCTTTGCCTCCTCCTCGCCTAGGCCGGCCCGTTCTTCTCATTGCCCCGAAGTAGGGGGACGGGTAGTCAGGCCCCAGAAGGGCAGACGGGCGGAAACGGAGGGGAAATAGTCTACAAATGCTGGGCTTCGGACTCAGTTGAGTGGGGTGAGTCGCTCCTCCCCCGCCGACAGCGGTAACAATTGTGGACGAGGGAAGGTAACCGCCGAGGGAAGGCACGGCGCGCGCCGGCAACTGTCACCCGGAGCACGCGCCCAGACCTCTCCCGCGCATCTCTTTTGTTCATTTTCAGCTACAGTCGAGTCCCAAACTATTGCTTGCTTTGCAAAACGAGAGTCTCAATATAAATTCTGGTGCACGAAAGCTCTCTCTGCTGTGTGAAGTAAAGAGTACCCCTCCCAATTCTGGGGTAAGAGTGTTTTCCTTACAGATTTTCCGTCCTTTGGGGGTCTCTTGGGGTTAATTAGTATTTTCAGAACAAAATGGCTGCTTGGGCAGGATACTATTCACAAAACAATTGTTTATAAAGCACTTGTGTACTAGAAAGTCTCTCCTCTTCAGCCTTCCTAACCTTGGCTTCCTCCCTTCTCCTACTTAGGCCACTCTGAATTCTTTAGCATATCAGCTTTCCTCTTTTTTATTTCAAAGAAAAAGTAAATGAAAACGGTTGGTTAGTCAGGGAACTTGTTTGGCACCAAGAGACATGCACATAGCAGATCGCCACTTTAAGGTGACCAACCGTCCTCCTTTAGGGAGGACAGTCTGTAAGTTCTGACCTCCCTCGAAAAGTGTCCTCCTATATGTCCTCCTGTTCGATATTTGAAGACTAATCTGCAGGGCTTTTTTTTTCTCATAAAACGCTCAGAACAGCGTTCCGGCATCTTTTTTTGATGTTTTTTTTTTTTCAACTTTTGCAAGGCTTGTGCTACTCCCACTATTGGCTTTTGAAAGCCAATAGGAATTGTTGCTGAGTGCGCCAAAACACTTGTCTGGCAAACTTGGCCCATGCAAGTTGTCTGTATTATTGTTGCAATGAATAAAATGTTCTTTTTATTTACAATTTTTTTTCTTCAATTTATTTGTGTCCTCCTTTTCATTGTAAAAAAGTTGGTCACCTTACCACTATGCAGGGGCCATCTGGACTCCAGATTCTGGAAGCATCTATTTTTTAAAAAGGCATCTTGAATACAAGTAGTTTTTGACTTATAACAGTTCATTTAGTGACCATTCAAAGTTACAATGACACTGAAAAAAGTGACTTATGACCATTTTTTATGCTTACAACCATTGTAGCATCCCCATGATCAAGTGATCAAAATTCAGCTGCTTGGCAACTGATTCATGACGATTGCAGTGTCCCAGGGTCATTTTATCACCTTTTATAACCTGATAAGCAATGGGGAAATCAGGTTCACTTAACAACCGTGTTATTAACAACTATAGTGATTCACTTAACTGTGGTAAGAAAGGTTGCAAAATGGGGCAAAACTCTCTTAACAAATATTTCACTTAGTAACAAGAAATTTTGGGCTTAATTGTACTCATAAGTCAAGAACTACCTGTATTGATCTACTTATCAGTGTGGAAAAGCAAGGTATCTGGTATAACAAAATAAGTGGTTCTTCCTGTAGCTCTCTGGCTAAGATTCTAATCTAGGGAGTCTTTTTCCAGCCAAACTATCTGTAAACAAAACCAATTTAGCTCAAACAATAACTTGATATAATGCATTTTATGATTATATGATTAAATGTCCTAATGTCAAATTATTAGGAAGCAATAACTGAAACACTCTTTTTAGTTTTATATTATAAACATATTTGGTAATTTTTTTACTGCTCTAGCACAGAGAGGATTCATTCTTAAAACATCTCATCAAGCAATAACTTGATATGCGTTTTATGATTATATGATTAAATGTGCTAATATCAAATAACTATGAAGCAATAACTGAAGCACTCTTTTTAATTTTATATTATAAACATATTTGGTAGATTTTTTTACTACTCTAGCACAGAGAGGATTCATTCTTAAAACATCTCATTTTGTCCTATTCAGCTAATACTCCAATCTTTGGCGATATAATTAGACATGCTGTTGCTCTTCATCAGTTTCATTAGTTTCTCAGTTCTTTGAGGTGATATTACTTCTGCTATGTGTATGGAAAGAGTTATTTTCCCTGCTCTGTCTTTTTTGTTTGAAATGGATACATGGGTCAAGGTGGTATTGGAACCTGGCATGTAGATAAGTACTATTGCAGCTTAGCAATCAACAGACTTATCTAATCAAACAAACTGACAGAGACATAGACAAAATTCAGATTAAACACAGACCCCACTTCAGACAGGCAGTTAGCCAATGTTGTAATGGTGCTCACAGCTGTGCAAATTTATTCCTCAATCTTCATTCTTACTAATAAAGGCTCGTTGAAAAAAGCTGTAAAAATGGGCAGCCAGTGCTCTTAAGTAGCCAATCAGGAAGAAAGGTATACTTCAAAATAAGTTTCCTGGCAGTACTTTTATTCTACATTTCCTAAATAAAAAGAGCAGAATCCACACAAGAGCATAGTCTATATTTTTTAAAAATGCACGCGCATGACTTCCCAGTCCAAAGCCAGTCTGCACAGTCCCCGCCTAGCAGATAACTAATAATATTAAATTGCTGGATTCAACCAAGATCTCACCTGTGTAACTTTCTTTGATCCAAGCAACCACCAAATCTAAACTACCTAAAACTGTCAGAAAATTCTAGTAGCCTAGTAATGAACATCAGATTACTTTTTGGGCATCTATATCCTAAGTCAACAAACTGTTCAAGATTCTGAAGGATTGTTTGTACTTCAACAGGAAATCTGATTTTGGATGTATTGATTCATTAGCTTTGAAAAATAAGAAATTATATCAAATTTACTCTTATTTGTCTTTTATAAACTTAGCAACTCCATCTATTTCTGGAAGCTTTATCCAGTTTCCTCTGTCCTTTGGTTAACAATGAGATATTCAGTGTCTTTTCTGAAGGCCAAACTAGTCATTATTATGAATTTGAAGTGCACTCTGCAGCTTTTTTATTTTTAAGGAGTCCAATCTTAACCAGTCAGGCATCTACATAGTCCTACAAAAGTCAGTAAATAATCCTAGTACTTCTAGCCATCATCTACCTCTAGATTTAACAGTCTCTGGGCTTTGTAATAAAGACATGTTGTAGATGATTTCATGGAAATGAAAGGAAGCCTTCTCTCTTATTCTACTTACCCTCTCCTGCCTTCTTTTTTTAAAAAACTTATTGCTGCATATATTCATTCTTTTCTTCAGAGCGAGGACCCTTTTCATTGAGGAAGAGATTGCCTTGTAATTGACTTTGAACAGTAAATTGGCTTTATAATCTGGAGTTTATGAAGTAAAACCTTGTATTTATTTATTTATAATGATAATGATATGATAATTATGAAATAACAACAACAATAATAGAGTTGGAAGGAACCTTGGAGATCTTCTAGTCCAACCCCCTGATCAGGCAGGAAACCCTATACTATTTCAGATAAATGGTTGTCTTCTTTAAAAAATCCAGTATTGGAGCATTCACGACTTCTGGAGGCAGGTTGTTTCACTGGTTAATTGTTCTGGAAATTTCTCCTTAATTCTAGGTTGCTGTTCTGTTTGATTAATTTCCACCCATTGCTTCTTGTTCTGCCTTCAGATTCTTTGGAGAATAGCTTGACTTCGTCTTGGGGCAACCCCTGAGATATTGAAACACTGCTATCGTGTCACCCTTAGTCCTTCTCTTCATTAAACTAGACATACCCAATTCCAGCAGCTGTTTATATGTTTTAGCCTCCAGTCCCCTAATCATCTTTGTTGCTCTTCTCTGTACTCTTTCTAGAGTCTCAACATCTTTTTTATATCGTGGTGACCAAAACTGGATGCAGTATTCCAAGTGTGGCCTTACCAAGGCATTATAAACTGGTATTGATTCTATCCCTCTGTTAATGCAGCCTCCGAGATCCCTTTCACAGTTACTACTATTGAGCAAGGTAGCACCTATATTGTACCTGTGCATTTGGTTTTTCTTGCCTAAATGTAGGCAATTTCACTATTGAATTTAATTTTGTTAGATAGCGCCCAATGCTCAAGTCTTTCTAGATCCTTTTGTATCTTAAGCCTGTCTTCTAGAGTGTTGACTGTTCCTGCCAGCTTGACGTTGTCCACAAATTTGATGAGTGCCCCATCTATCCCCTCATTCAAATCATTCACGAAGATGTTGAAGAGCACTGGGCCAGAACAGAGCCCCAGGGCACCCACTACACCCTCCATGTAGATGCAGTTCCATTGAGGACCACACACTGAGTACGACCAGTCAGCCAGCTACGAATCCAGTGGTGGGATTCAAATAATTTAATAACCAGTTCTCTGCCCGAAGAGCAACTTAAGAACACGTAAAGGCACAGGCTTTCCTAAACACTAAAAGTAAAGGGGAGGCAGAGTAAGCCATCTGAGGAAGAGACAGAGGTGCAAAACTGCTGCCGGGACCATCACCCCGGAACAAAAGTTCTCAAGTGGCCCTGAGGAGCCTTGGTCACCAGGATCACACCCAGTTGCATGAAGCAGCAGCCTGTATGGGCTGTCTCCATCCCAGCCCAGAAAGTGAGAAAAGTGGTGGTGGGGGGACCGGGTAAGGCCCATCCTCCATAGCATGGCAGTTCAACTCAGGAAGGGAGTGAAAGGAAACAGGTGGGTGGGCAGCTGACATGTTCGAAGGCGCTGCGTCTCCGTTTGGTTTCTGTCACTCCTCTCTTGGACTTTTTGGGAGGGTTTTTTTTTTCCTTGCCTGGAAGGAAGTTGAATGAATATCAGACATGTTCCGGAAAACACAGATTTCTCATAACCGGTTCACCAAACTCAACAAAAAAAATAGATATTGGTTCTGCCAAACTGGTGAAAACCAGCTGAATCCCACCACTGTATGAATCCCACAAGATGGTGATGCTGCCTAACCCGCATTTTTCTATCTTATCAAGTAGAAGGTTGTGATATACTTTATCAAATCCTTACTGAAGTCCAAGTAAATTATATCCACAGCATTCCTCTGGTCCACTAATTTTGTCACTTTGTCAAAGAATGCAATAAGATTTGTCTGGCATGATCTGTTTTTGACAAACCCATGTTGGCTTTTGGTTATGACTTTGTTTACCTCTAGGTGTTTGCTGATTCATTGCTTATCTTTTCCAGAATCTTCCCAGGTATTGAGGTCAGGCTGATAGGTCTGTAGTTTCCTGGATCCATTTTTTTTTTCTTTTAATCAACTGGCTAAGAATGTATAATTATTATGGTAAATTGAAATCCTTACAAAATCCATAATAATACTTTCCAAAAGTAAAAAACATCAATTATATATGAAAATAGTAGCATTAGTAAAATTAACAGTGTCTATTAATCATCATGAATATCAACTTATTCTGCTTTTATACTGAATTTGTTCAAAAAACCAAATCTATAACACTATGAAACTCTTATCTAAAACACTTTGCTTAGGAAGAGTTATTTCTGACTGGATTGATCTCTTGGAATGGCATTGTTGAATCTCTGCATTATTCCCTAAATGTACAGTAGATTGTACTGTACATACATCTATTAAATTATGTATTTAATGGAACTGATTTTTTTTAGTGGGCTATGTGTTTAACAACAACAAAAAGCACAAATATATCTAATGATTACTGTGACAAACTTGATAATATTTATTTCCTAATTGCAATAGTAATTACAGTATTGAGATTAATTTTATTCTTCAATTTCCTATGTGATTGTTAGATGATATAAATAAATATAAATTCCAGGAACTGAATATTATAAATTGTAATATAAAATATAATACAATGTTTCATTATGATTTTTAACAAATATTTTATGGTGTAATCTTTCATAATGTTTCCTAGATTTTAATTGAAGTGCATTGCTTTGGGCCTGTCTGTTTTACAGAAAGCTGGTAATAGAAAAATAAATGGAGAAATTATAATTAAATGAACAAAAATACTACTTAATTCAATCTTCTTGAGAGAGAACTCAGTTATTTGTGGAAAAGCTATGCAGATTTGCCTGTGGCATTTCATACTCGAAACCCCACTTATAAAGCAAAAAGTTTTCAATTCTTTATGTAAATGATCACAAAATGTTAGAGCTATTGTCACAAATAGTAGTACTTAACTAACTGTATAATGTAATTAATTGCCTTCAGCATGTGTTATTAATTTATTTACTTCAATTTTTTTGAGACAAGTTTCAATGAAACTTCAGGAATCAGTACCAGCCTGTTCTCTAGAGATGCATAAGATGAATTTTATTTTTATCCATAGCATCCACCTAGATCCAGTTTATTTTCAAATCAAATCTTTCTTTTGTTGACATAATTCCCTGTACCAAATTCATCCCAATTCTACTTTGTTTTCAGTTATCCTACTGATGATGAACAGGTAGGTAGGCAGAGTTCAAAGCCCCTCTACAATATTCCATTGTATTGGAAAGAACAAAAAGGATCCCATAAATGGCATATAAAATTTAATAAACTTAAGCCATATGTTCTGAGGGTTTCTTTGACATGTTTTAGTAGTTTTTTTTCTTTTCCCTCTTTATTGGTAGGCAAACTTTCAGCCTGGTGGTGGCTGTAGGGTTCTGATCACTTCCATTTTGTGCTTCAGTGAGTGGTGAGAATCAAAATGTAAATACTGATCTGTGTGTGTGTGTTGTAAATTTCAATGTTAAGGTTTATGTCTTAATGTGCACTGCAGAGTCCAGGAAAGCCAGTCTCTTTTTCTTAATATCTTCCTGTGAAGCCATAATTTAATGTATCTGTCCACAGAGTTATATTTGGTAAAGGCTTCCATTCCTGTGTTTTAATCTTGAGTCAAGTATTATCCACATACCTATGCCAGTAAGTGGGTGGAATTCGTGTGAAGGAGTTTAGGGCTTTGATTTCTACCTCTTCCGTGTAGATATTGGCCACAATGGGGGACACAGGTGAACCCATGATGCAGTCAAGTTTTTGTCTCTCTTCATTGTATTTTAACCTTCAGAATTTGTGGCTATCCCAACTGGGCTTTCATCAAATTCAGAAAAGACCCAGCAGGAATTCCTCCATAAATAATGAGAAGTGAGCAACAAATGGAGCAATGTTGTCATTCCATATGTTGCAGGAATATCTGAAAAGCTCAAGAGGATTTTCAACCAACACAACATTTGAAACCCAAGAATACTAAGACAGAAGCTTGTCCACCCCAAGGATAAAACACCCAGACAAAAATTAAGCAATGTAATGTAAGTACAATGCAATAAGATGTACAGATTTGTGCATAGGAGAAACAAACAAGTACTTCACAAATGCATGGCAAAACCTAGGAGAATAAATCCATCAGGACAAGATTCTGCAGTCTATCTATATTTGAAAGACAAAGATCACTCTTTTGAAGACAGTAAAGTCCACATTTTGTTTGAAACAGAGGTAAAAGAGGCCATTTATGTTAACATTGAGCAGCCATCTCTCAACAGAGGGGGAGGGATAAAACACCACCTATCTTTTGTCTACAATGCAGTCCTTTCAGCAGTTTCAAAAAGATTCTATCCTCATTTGCACTCATTTGTATCAGTGATCCTGAGGGCACAGATAAAACCCAAGTGGCCTCAAGAATTCTCACGGAAAGTGCTAACAACCAGATGACTGCAAAGAAATATGATCTTTCCAATTCTCCCTCCCATCCTATCAGAACTAATCCTTCCATTGCCCCCACCCATCCTGCCAAAATAGATGAAGCTTCTTCAATGAGAAGCAAAACATCTACCAGGAGCTGTGAATTTAGGAGAACCCCTAAGTTGTGAATTGGGTCTGATCAAGTAGTGCAATTCTGTCCAGAATTAAAGATGTCAAAGATCCAGATCTTGAAGCTCCATGCACCCAAAGCCATTCAGCCGTGCTAGGATTCAGTCATAGCCTGAACCCTCTCTAGGCTCCTATGATCTCCAGGCACCACGAGAGGGAAGCAATACCAACATTTGTGTCACCAGGTATCGAAATGTAAAGCTTTCATCAGAACTTAACCCATGGTAATGGGTGATCTCATTCAGCAACTTCCTGTAGATGTTAACAAGAGTGGAAAGAGTACCAAGCCCTACAGCAATCACAAGAAATTGGCCAGGTGTTGGAGCCAAACCAGTGCAGAACTGCACTGCCCAGCCCAAAGGATGTTATTTCAGCCAAAGGATAAGAATTGGTTGACAAAATGATGTAAATAGCAGTCCACTGTATCAAGAGGGCATTAGATTTAGAAAGCTGGAGAGAATTACTATAATGATCCGTATAAAAATTATATTAGCAAAGTAATAGAAAAATATTACCATTCCTCTCTTTTTTTTATTATAAAGAGTGGAAATGTGGCAAAATCACATTTTATAGAACAGCCTTCTTCCAAAAATTCCTTTTGGAAGGCTGGGAAAAAATGTTTTGTTAAAAATGCTTCCTTTGCGGATTTTGCATTGGGCTTTATGCAGAGTCTGAAGTCCATCTATACACTCCAGAAAGCTTGAATCATTGTGAATGGTGACTTTACAAAGCCATGTGAAATCCAGAAGAGAACAACAGGAGGGTCCTTTAACCCCTTTATTATTTATTCTCAGGTTGGAACTGTTAAACAGAGATATTAAACAGAGTAACAGAACAAAAGAATACAAATTAAATTACATAATTACAAATTACGTGCATTTGCTGACAATTTGGATTGTGCAAGACCTGCTAAAGAACATTGAACATGTTATGAGAAAGATTAAAATGTTTGGAGAAATGGCAGATTTAAGAATAAATAAAGATGATAATGCTGGCTAAGAATTTAAAGGTAGAAAATCAGAAGAAATTGGAATTTAAAACTAGTTTTAAAGTTATTAAAAATGTACAATATTTGGGAGTGACTCTCACTGAGGAAATTATAAGCTTTACAAAAATAATTGGTAAAATATGTAAGGAGATAAAATTGAATTTAAATAGATGACAGAAATTAGATTTGTCATTAATGAGAAGAATTTCAGTAATTAAAATGAATGTGCTAATTAGAATGTTATTTCTATTTTGGACTATTCCGATATTGATTAAAGATTTCACTTTCAAACATGCCAGAAACATATATCTAAATTTATTTGGCAAAATAAAAAAACAAGAATTAAATATAAGCTGCTACAAGATTCTAAAGATGGAGGAAGTCTGGATTTGCCAGCTCTTAGATTATATTATGATGCTTGTTGTCTGATATGGTTAAAAGATTGGATAACTTTAAAAAATTCAAGGCCGTTAGACCTTGAAGATTTAATGATTTCGGAATGTAAATGATGACATAATGAGACTTATTGATATTTGAAAAAGAGGGATTTAAGATAAAGACAAGAGAACTAGTAAGTAAAGGATTTGCTTATGATTGGCTTAATTATTATAGATTTTTTGAAAGATTTAAATTTGATAATTTTTTGTTTTCACAGGAACTAAATCTGAATTGGACATTAATTTATGTTCTGGAAATGACCCTTGATTTCTAAAATATATAAAATGTTACTTAAGATGAACAAGTTAAAGAGTGTATGATAAAATGGGCAAAAAAATTGGGTATAATATAATGCTAGATAAATGGAAGAATGTATGGATGAATGGACTAAAATTCACATTAAATTATAGTTTGAAAAAAAACTTCTACAAAATGATGTATCATTCATATTTTACCCCAGATAAACTTGCAAAAATGTCTAAATGGATTTTTAATAGGTGCTGGAAATGTAATCAAAATCCAGATTCATTTTATCATAGTAGTTTTAGTAATTTTGCAAATATATGAAAACATATTGGATAAACATAACAATGACAATGCAAAAAATATTTAAGATACAAATATTAATAAAACCGGAAACTTTTATTTTAGGTATGATGGACAAGCTAATTGAAAAACAATTTGGGGTGCTATTCCTTTATATGGTGACAGTTATGAGAATTGTACTTGTCAAACACTGGAAAGAAAAGAGATGCCGACTGTTGAAGAATGGATTTTGAAATTGACTGAACTAGTAGAGATGGTGAAATTAACTGCTTTGATTAGAGATAATGGACTAAGCAGCTTTATGAGAGACTGGAAACCATCTGTAGACTTTCTACGCACTAAATTTGGTTAACAGAGGGATCTGAAGATTAGTGCAACATTTAGCTCAACCTGTTGCTTGTTTTTTCTTCATATATACATATATATATAAATGGAATGAATAAAGCGCATTCACCAGGAGAGTTTAAAGTTAAAATACTTTAATTAAAGTATTTTACTATATTAAAAGGTTGCCAAGCTTTCGTTGGGAAAACTCCCCAACATCTTCAGGGCTGAGAGATCGTTTCTAATAAGGTGGTTTAAACGGGTTCCATAGACGTCTGCGCGTGGCTCCTAGACCGTGCTAGCATTCCCCGCTGAACAGCTGATACGTGGGAGGGGGAATCGGAGTAAAGATTTCTTCCATCGTTCTCTCGAGCACTTTTGTTCACATCTCCGTCGACCTCGGGGGGTATTGTTAAAGCTATGTTCCGCCCTCTCCCGGCAGCACTGGCTCTCGTTGCAGCGGGGGGGATTTAGTTTGATGTCATTGTGTATCCTACCATGGAGGCGGGGCTTCATCGGCTGCAATTTAACATCTTTCCTCTGCTGCGTGCTCCCGTATTTATCTTCGCTCGCATGTACAAGCATCAACTGGATGTGGTATTTTTCAATGTTTGAATCATCCTCCTCCATCATGGTGTCCTCCATGCTCATCTTCCCTTGTAGGTCAATATTCAAGTTAAATCTCCCCCGTTTCTGTGAGCAAAAGTCTGTTGGTATTGTCTAGGAGCCAAGCGCAGCGTTGGTATTGTCTAGGAGCCAAGCGCAGACGTCTATGGAACCCTTTTGGCAACCTTTTAATATAGTAAAATACTTTAATTAAAGTATTTTAACTTTAAACTCTCCTGGTGAACGCGCTTTATTCATTTCATTTATAATTATGCCCGGGAGTTGCATTTTCACCATCATTATTGAATATATATATATATACACACACACATACATACATACACACACACACACACACATACACACACACAGAGAGAGAGAGAGAGAGAGAGAGAGAGAGAGAAAGTTTTTCAGACAGACCAGTCTGATTGATTACGCTTTGGCATTTTGACTCCTATACTGCAGTTCTACTTTTTACAATCTCTTTTGCCTTGCAATCCCCCAACTAGGGGCATTAAGCAGGCTCAAGTCGCTACTGCGAAACATTTACAAAACATTTACAACTGCCTAGTATGTAAACTGCCCAGGTTCGAATCCCATAAAGGGTATGGCTAACTGATGAGAGCAAAATGAGCTCAAAATGGCCTTATTAGTCTCCCAACTTAATTCTTTAACTCTTTGTCAGAAAAAGAAATCTTTGTCAATGGGAACGTTTTTGACAGCGTCGCTGGAGTCCGTAACACTCTTGGGTTGGCTACCATCCTCTCCCTCACATAAAGCCCTCAATGTAGGGGTCGCCCCCTCTCTGTTGCCCATACATTTCCGTTGCCACATCTATAAATAGCTTCCCCCATTGACTGGAAGTTACCCTGACGATGCTGGCAGGCACCAGCGAAAGCTTGGTATTTTAACTTATTAAAACTTTTTATAGTTTTATAATTTCCTGGTGTTCGTGCATTTTTTGCTAGTTAACATGAGTTTACCCAGGAATTACCTTTTTTGCTTTTAGCATTCTTAAGAATATATATATATATATGTATGAATATATGTGTATGTGTATGTGTGTGTGTGTGTGTGTGTGTGTGTATATATATATATATATATATATATATATATAGAGAGAGAGAGAGAGAGAGAGAGAGAGAGACATAACATACATACATACACAGATACATATACACATATTCATATACATATACATATATATATTTGTCAAAGGGGAGGAGAATTTACTGCTTTTTCTTTTTTTTCAGCACCCAGCCATGAGGATCCTACATGTTAAATGTTAAATTTAATTGACCATTATTTTTTTTTTTGGTACACTATTCTTTTTTGTTGTTAGGGTTGAATGTATGCTTTTGTTTTCCTTCATTTGTTTGTTTTATTGTTTGTATTTTATTCTCTATGATAAAACAATAATAATAAAAAGTACTTCATTGCTTCATTATTGTTGCCTTTTTGCCTTACCTTTGTTATATTTTATTATATATTTTCATCCTTTATGTGTTGTGAATGCCAAGAGTCATCTTTGAATGCAACATATCATTGCAAACTAAAGCTCAACAAATAGTTTCTGTTCACCCAATTTTTTATTTAGAGAACTCGATTAGTCATTCTACTCTAGGACACAGATAACTTTCATCTATATTAATGCTCAGCTCTGGCAAGCAGATATGACATTGTAACATTTGGATAATATTAGCCTGAATTTTATAGAAATTTTGTTATAGCTATGTCTTTGTATTATACAAAAATATTCAACTCATAAATTAAAATGAATATCTTTCTTAATGAAACCTTTGGATAGAAAATTATGTCTAAGTTAAAATAATTACAGACAATACAATCAGCAGATATTACTTCTACCAAAAAAGTTATTTTTAATTAAAATAAATCCACTGTTGCCACTACCATCATCAAAAGAGCTAGATGAGACAGAAAGAAAAAATAATCTCTGATTATTGTTAAAATAAAAGTGGGGGGAAAAGAGTTTTTTTTAAAGATACAGGAGTAAAGAAGATAGCTGTAGATAGATAGATAGACAGACAGACAGATGATAGACAGACAGATAACCTTTATTGTCAGTGTTACTTTTTACTGTGGACACAATGGCACATATTAAAAATGAAATTTAGTAGCTTGCTCTCAAAGTGTACACATACATAACATACATTTAAACATACTATATACAACATCTATAGACCTACACCCTTACACATAAATAACATAAATATTAATCACTGTCCATTCTTGAATAATGGGAGGAGGAAGCTTTAGAGTTCACAAAGATAATACTACATGGAACAAAACTGTGACTGAATCTGGATGTTCTGCTTCGGATACCATGAAGCTTCCTCCCAGAAGGTAACAAAGAAAACAGGTTGTTAAGAGGGTGTGTAGTGTCCCAGTCAATCTTGCAGACCCTGCTCAAACAATAAGTAAAGCACTGTATAGCCAGCAGGTGGCACTGGCAGTATACAGAAAGATTAGATTGGTACATAAAAATGCTTTTCCACTTGCACTATCAAGTACATAAAATTATGTAACTATAATAATTTAATTATATCAAATTATATTTCAGAAAGCTGGTCTGCTCCACAGATTTATTAAATGACTGAAAATAATTTCAGTTTAATTTATGGATTTCTCATGGTTTAATATTTTTCACAATATAAACGTATTAATAGAATAACTTTATATTACGTTGCTGGAGAGTTGGGACTTCTTGATGATGCTCTCTATTCAATTATGTCTGATTCTCAGCAATTCTATGGACCAACTCTACATTTTCCAATCTTGTACATCCTCTTTCAGTTGTTTTATGCTGTGACTTTTGTTAGTTCCAATGGTGTGTAGCCACCATGTATGTACTTTGGCAGTCTCATTAACCATGGGTAATTTTTCCCCACTGCCTCTAAATCAGAGAACTTAGGGATAGAGTAAATCAATGGATTTCTTCAAAAGGAAAAGTGATATATCAACTAATCAGTTTTTTAAAAAAATAACTCAGTAGCTATTGGTTTGAACAGGGCCAATTGCAATAAGTGAATCTGCATATTGAGAAATACCATATATATGCAAAAGCATAAAATATGGATACTTTTAAAACCATCAGATCTGTATTTGTAAAATCCCAAATATAGTTCTATTAGAAACTGAACCTATAGAGAATGGATTGATAAAACTCAGGAACCAGAAAGTAGATAGGCTACAATTTTATGAAGCCTAATCAAGTCTTTAGTTGAAAGTTAAACATACTGCTATGATGCAAGTGATGAAAGGGAAAACATGGTGGTAGAATAAGAAATTTGGGGTTTCAAGGTCTGGGAAGGAGAGGGTATCAAAATAGCAATTGGAAAAGTAGGTTCTGAAAGCTCTGCCCTTCCCCCCATATCCAAAATTTTTCATTACTAATCTCTTGCCACTTTGAATTATTGTCTAATGATCAAGTGTCTCTTTGCTATGCACTCATGACTATTTTGGGTACAGCTATAGGAAAGCCTAAAAAGTTGCTGTTGCAAACATATCTGCCTGCAAAATGACTGTCCTCATATTCCAAAGCACTTGTCAAGTCTCACATGGGCTGCTTAATTAGATAGTTTAGCTTTTTTTTTTTTTAACAGCACAAGACTTTTCTTTAAGATAGATCTAGAGAGTTCTAGATTGTGTTGCACTAAAGGTCAATTTTAAACTGGAGAAGAGAGCTAGGCTCTGCCTACCGTATATTATTAATTCTGTCACTAATGATTACTACAGACTTTTACTACTTCTGCCAATACAGGTAATCCTTAACTTACAACTGTAATGGAAGATGCCTATTATGGTTGTAAGTCATGACAGTCATAAAACAGGTCACCCATGTGACTGATCTGATTTTACAATCTCTGTGCAGCAATCACAAAGTAAACACTGCAGTCGTTAAGTGAAGTAATTATTCATTATGGACCAGTTTTACCAAAACCCCAGAAGTAAATGTTGGTTTTCAAAAAAACATTGCTTTTGGGACACTTCAACCAGCCATAAATGCAGGCCAGGTGCCAAGCATCCAAAATATGGTCATATGACTGCTGGGGAAAGCTGTTATACCTTTGAATGATTGCTAAGTGACTAGTTTTAGGTCAAGGAGGTCTGGTGTGACCATACGTTTCTTGCTTTTATTGGTGTGAAAATGGCATCATTCTGACTACTATATGAGCTACTTTCTGGAGAGATGGCTATAACTACTTGCTGCCAGCACTGTCGTTCTCTTGCAGCAATACTTGAGATTGAAATGTGCTCAGTATTAGATGCTGCTTCCTATTTCACCCTGAAACTCTCCTTCATACCTGTGATCTGTCAGCTAGGCTATTTAGATATTTCAAAAGAGTGGTGGATATTTGTTCAGAAATAACTTGACCAAAAGATCTCAGACCTGGAGTTTTTCAGTTAAAAAAATTAATTTGGCTAAGCCAGTCATTTTAAGCACCTGCCCACATATGCTAATCCTCACTTCACAAATTAAAAATAGTGGTGATCGACATTTTTCTTGATCACAGGAAATATTCAAGAAGGAGAAGAAG